CAGCATCATGTATTTTTTAGAGTTGATATTTCATTTCTGATAAAAGGCATCTTCTAGCTACGGCGTACCTCATCATTACTGAGCAACCAACAATTGGAACAGACAAGACATTGTGGTTAATCACTCACAGGGATGCCAGAAGCCTGGAGATTAACATCACTGGAACTCATCAACATGAGTAACCACCCAAATTGGCAGAAACAGCAAGCCGTTCTCCCTACCTGTAATCCACTGGTACGGCCACAGGTGCTTTCTCTGACCTATTGCTTTTCCATTCAGGCAGGCTGTAGGCTCGCAGTGCTTGTGCACCAGCTTAATTTTATTAAGTATCCTGATAGAATTCAGACTCTTCCCAAGAGTTTCTTGTTGGTTTCTGTATCGCACCTACTACCGAGAAACCCAGTTACCAGAGTTTCAAAACGCTGCTGCAAGATTACAGATTAGTAACGAGGACCCTGTGACAGGAGGGATCCAGAAGCTTGGAGAACATCCAGCCGAAGAACCAGACTCGGCTGCACACCTTGCCAAATGAAAACACCATCTCTTTGCTTGACTAACTGCTTTGAGGCTATTCCCTTTTTCTTCCACAGCCCCCTTATATATCAGACCATCTATGCACCATACCAGCCTCCACCATCTTAATTTATGGCACAACACCTGACATGTACTGTAACAGAATCACTGTATTAGAACCCCTGAGGTGCTTTTCTCTTTACAACAGATGTGATGTCAATCTTTAGTTTAGGAAGGTTTAATACATCACCCAACAAGCTTTCTGTCTGCTTGACCAAAACTCATCTAACACGAACCTTTACAAGCCTCAAACACAACACTCAGTTCTAACGCCTGGAATTCAGGAGCAAGATGAGACAATGAACAAAACAAGTACCATTGAACTTTCATATGCTATCAAGCAGCTGAACAAGTTGAGACGGGAAGAAAACTTGAGGGGAACGTTTATGACCTTTATTTTTTTTTAAATAGAGAAAGCTCTATAAAATAACCTCCCGCTCCTCCATCATCTGCTGCCTGTCAGCAGGCAGGCAGCACCCTGTTGCTACCAGGCTCCTACCAAGCTAGAAAAGCACCACATGTCAGTGTTCAGGCACAGATTTCAGCTCTGAAGAGAAAAGAGATGTTCCTTTTTTCTCCCCCTGCTGGCTATGAGACTCACAACCCTAACTAAACTCTACAGTTCACAGATCAAAGAGACTCTATCTCAAAGCACACAAAACACAGGCACTTCCGAAGCCACACTGACTTGCTCGTGTAGCATACCTACACATACAAGTAAGACTTTGACACCAGCACTTCCGAAGCCACACTGACTTGCTCATGTAGCATACCTACACATACAAGTAAGACTTTAAACATATGTTACTCACGTTTTCTTGAAGGTTTCACATCACTGTGTGTTGGTCAGTCAAACTCCTCTGTAGTTTACCCCTCATCAGCTCTCACCCAGCTACTAAAGAACAGGTCACAGCAGATCTTGTCATCAAATAGGCAACTGCCAGGTGGCCATTTGGTGTGACCCAAATCAGGTGAGCAGCTTCACCCAAAAAACTCCAGAGAAAATCAAGCTCACCTGGCTGCTACCTATAGCAAAGCCATTCTTAAAGATGACCTGGCTTACATTTCAGAGCTTTGTTGACATGATCAAGAAGGTAAGGAAGGCTACTGGAGCAAAACAAAAAGAAACTGCCTGCAAAACAAAAAGAAACAGCTCCTGTTACACCAGAGATCCACTTGGATCTTCTTGTTACAGCACTTTTAACAGCAAAAGAATTTTCATGATATGTGTACCCCCAGCCCTGTGGGTGGGGTGTGGAGCAAAGCTGGCAAGGCCTTTTAGGATAAATGTTTTTCATCTGTGGTCTGCGCATCTCTAGGGGTGTGTGGAAGATTGCCCACAGGCTTAAATTCACTTCACAGTGGCAGACACCTAACAGAAACGTTTTAGACAGCTGCCAACTTAAAAAGGTCAACAGTCCACTTAAGGATGTTAACCCTCAGTGCTGAAGACTTCTGTGGTAACTTACTCAGCTGCCAGGCATTACAATAAAGCACCCTGCTCTGGCCTTGGCATCTTAGGTTAACACACAGTCAATACTTGTCAAAATGGTGATTACGGCTTCAAATGAATATCATTATTTGACACACGTGTAAACCAATCCGCATAGCCTCATGCAGAAAGACTATACTGCTTCTTCATACTGTTACACGTAGTCTACGTATGGCTAAATTATAAAGGAGAGAACTCTACTCCCAATAAAAGAAAAAAAGCCAACAGTAAACTGCCTGAGACAAGGGATATATGAGCAGCGCTCAGAACATAACAGCCGTGTTTTGCCAATTAACTATATACACACAAACAGACGGGGTCTTGGTTGACTACCGGCTTGACATGAGCCAGCAGTGTGCCCAGGTGGCCAAAAAGGCCAATGGGATACTGGCGTGTATCAAGAATAGTGTGACCAGCAGGAGCAGGGAAGTGATCCTGCCCCTGTACTCGGCACTGGTGAGGCCGCACCTGGAATATTGTGTCCAGTTTTGGGCCCCTCGCTTTAAGAGAGATATTGAGCTCCTGGAGCGAGTCCAAAGAAGGGCAACTAAACTGGTCAAGGGGCTGGAAAATAAAACTTACGAGGAGCGGCTGAGGGAGTTGGGGCTGTTTAGCCTGGAGAAGAGGAGGCTGAGGGGAGACCTGATTACGGCCTATAAATACTTGAGAAAAGATGGTGGGGAGGTGGGGGAGGGGCTCTTTACATTAGTGATGGGTGATAGAACAAGGGGAAACGGGCATAAGCTTAGTCAGGGGAGATTCAGGTTGGATGTTAGGAAGTATTTCTTCTCTGAAAGGGTTGTCAGCCACTGGAATAGGCTGCCCAGGGAGGTGGTTGAGTCCCCATCCCTGGATGTGTTTAAGAATAGGGTGGATTATCTACTTGAGGATATGGTTTAATGGGGATTAGGGATGGTTGGACTCGATGATCTCTAAGGTCTTTTCCAACCTAGAAATCTATGAAATCTATGAAAACAAAATTCACTGAATAAGCACATCCATGTCTGTTCTGTGACTGCCGTGGTTTTGAGGCTGACATCTCAACTCATCAGTACCCTACAAAAAACATTCTAACATTCAAAGCCTTAAAAGCATGCCTAGCGAGCTACAGCAAAGACAGATGGCTCATAAAATACCTGGGGGTCTCAAAAAGTAGTAACAACTGTTGTCACCAAACGTGAGCATGGCAGGGAAAACTGTACCATGAAACTGGGTAGTGTGAGAAGCTTACATGGGTTGCTTCTTGCAGATGGAATTAAACACATTCAAGTGTTAAACAAAACCAGGCACCGAAATAACAAGTTCTGAAACGTGGTGTTGAAGATCCAAAGTTAATTTGTCTGTGCAATAAACGACAATCATCTGCTTTTCCCTCTAGCATGACTTTAATAGTTAAAAATCAAATCTGTGCAGAGTGTACTTTATTTGTTCACATTACCTATTTGTGGTTAAAAACCACTTCATCTGACAGTTTAAAAGCATTCTTTTAAAACAAAAGAATTAAACATAGCTTCTGCTAAAAAACCTGCAAGTTACATGGATGCAATATACAGGAGTATAAAAAAAATCAACAGTATTCTACGAAAATATTCTCAAAACAGCAAATAAAGATTAGGCATGTAGGCATAATCCTGAACTGAACAAATATGAATTAAAAAACAGCTAACAAAATTTTAAAAAAATCCTGAATATCTGTATAAAAGAAGCAAGGATTCAAAGTGCAGGTGCTCCAGTTTTCATTTTAACATATTATTCAGTAAGTTGATACAGGATACTATCATTTTATATAAAGTGACAGTGTTCTCAGTAAGACTTAAACATTCAGTTACATTATCTTGCAGATTTTTTTCATTACTGCTACTTTACACTGTTGTAAATGAAGACTTATGCAATACAGGTTTTTATATTCTTAAGCTAACGAGGATATAATAGGTTGGTGGTAAAGGTTAGTTTTCAGAGCTAAGCTATATATGTGCTGCAGATCCAGCCTTAGAAGTATATATATATATTTTTTTTTTTTTTAACTTGTAAAAACAGGTTTCAATTTTCAAAAAGAGACTCCACCAATCTGTTCTGGGACCTGCATACACTGTCTTTGGAGCACACCAGCAAAGCTTCCAAGTCCACTGGTTAGGGATACAGCTCCAGGCAAGGTCACGCTGGACATCTTTCCTTGGTGGCCTCAGCTGGGAAAGGGCTTTCTCTCTGCTGGGTCTGGAGCAGCCGGAGGCCGCTGAACCCAGGGAAAGGCAAATGGGCTCTGCCTTTTGGCGCAGCAGAAATCATCACATTTAACTACGTTTGCCTGATGTGCCAGGTAGGCTTGGGATGGACTTCTCACCTTTATTTGAGTGTACCAGTCTTGAGTAAGTTAGGAACCAGGCAAGTGTCACTGAAGTGATCTTTCGTATATTCGAAAAAATAAAATTGAAGCATGAGTTAAAACCTATCATCTTCTTTGAAAAAAAAGTTCTATGAAATAAAATTATCCTTCAGGGATGTTGCCTGGAACTTAATTTAATCTGAGGTCCTATTCAGGTTGACAGTGTCCCTTTAAATTTTAGGTACTTCCTGTTTTGTTCATTTTTTTCCCAAGAATCAGATCTCTATATAAGTCTGTTTTAAAAATGCATGTAAATATCAGTATTAAGTTTATATTAGAAATTAAGAACTAATCTTTACCATTTTATATTGACAGCAAGATTAATAATACACACACTTCACTGACGACTTACTTTTTTTCTGTATTTTGAATAAAACTTGCATTTGTGTAACATTTCCCACAGAAAGAGTGATTATACTTCAAGATAGTTAAGTTTGCACCCCAACATTTTCACATTAGTGAAAACGATCATGTTTTGAAAATACCAGGGCCTGTGCCAGGTACTAATAAATACAGAATAAAAAAAAAATAAATAAAAAACCCAACTGCCTTTTATCCCGACATAGTAGAGATTTCATAGTCACTGGCTGAGGTTATTGGTTTACCCATCATCCTTATGTTTTTAGCATTAGTAATCCTAGCCATCATGGACACAGGCTTGTCAAAGTACCTAACCAGTGCCGGCTCAGTCAAAAGGGAGGCTAAAAATTGTTCAAAGGTGATGGCCCAATCTCTGTCAATGCTAGTGCTTCTATGAAGAGAAGTGGTGTGGTTGCTCCGTACCAAAACGGTGTCTTCACCGATGTCCTCGCAGTGCAGCTTTTCTTCTTCATGTGAACCTGCACTCAGTACTGAGTAGGAGGACATGGAACTATCATCTTTTGTATCGTCATCGGAAATGAGCATGGCAGAACAGGCCCCGTTGTCCCTTGGAGAAGAGTCTTCGAGCTTGATGTCTTCCATCTGCATGCCCAGGGTGCTGTCGGTGCAAACGGCCTCCTCGTCGTTGGTGACAAGGCTGCTTTGGAACGGCTTGTGCTGTTCGAGGGGGTACTGCTGGTGCTCCTTCTTCTGAAACAGCTCACTCTGAATAGTTTTGCTGCAATTGTTACTGCTGCTGTCTGCCTCTTTTGTGGGCTGCACACTGAAGAGCTTACCGACCTCCCCTATCTCCAAAAGCAAGCTCGTCACAGCAGCGGTAGCGTGGTACAGATCTTGTTCATTGGGGTCTTCACTGAACATGTTGTACATTGTCTTGCACAGTTCAATGAACTGTCCCTAAACACAGAGGGAGGAAACATTAACGAGAGAGCAGGAAACAAAATCAGACTTGAGATCTACTAAATCAGTTTTAAAAGTCTGGAATGGAGGTATGACACAACAGTTTATGTGATTAAAGTGAAATTGGAAACAATCTAAGTGCAGTCTAGAAAGGATCTCTGTGACTGGGCAGCCAGATGCGTTGCCTCTCTCAAAGCTGTTTAAAATAAATTGTGGGATGTTTCTTCCAACATATGACAAATTTATTTCTCTGCAGCCACAGGAGGGCAACAGAGGGTGAGCGGTGAGACACTTAGCATTCATTTTGGTGGATTTTCTCTAGGAATGATGCTGAGTATAACTAGGGGTCTGACAAAACTAGTGACAAGTAATGAAAAATGAAGTAAGAGACCTGCAGCACTCTTGCAATTGACAGTGGTAACTTAGTTGGATGAGAGCCTTTTGGAATTCAAAACTCATGAATTAAATAGGAAGGAGATTTGCTTAGGGCTACCTTAAGTAAGAAGCATTATTCTACAGGGAATAAACCTTCCCTATATGCTCTGGAGGAAACAGCTGTCCAATGGGTCTCCTCCTCCTTAGCAGCTATGGATCTAAAGGGAACGAGACTGACAGAATATACTACAAAACATCAAATGTGTCTTTCAGATAATGCATATGGAACATTATGAGCTAGCTGGTGATATTCAGTGTCATATCACACTCTGTCTAGAGATCAAAATAATATGTTATCATTCCTGTATGTGTTTATCTTACTTTTAGAATGTTTTGGGAGCTGAATGTCAGTTACAACATTCTGAAAACAGTTAACTAATTTCTGTAATCAGCTGACTGCTGCTCTGGTAAAAAAGAATCTGCCTCAAAATAAAACCATTTTTCAGTGTTAATGTACTGAATATTTATAGGCATGTGAAAAAAATTTAAAGTTAATGAAAAATAAGTACCTGATTCAGTTTGGGCAAGTCCTTTGTGTTTTTTGCTTTGGATTTCTCTTGGCTCCACATTCTCAGATAATTACGATTCTCTTGTGAGCTCTTCTTGCCTACTGTCAACAAATTACCCAGAGATGCAAGAAAAGTCCATGAAGAAACCTTAAATTAATAATTTCTTTTTTTTTTCCATTTTCAAAAGGAGCATCTTTATAAGAAATGAAGGATGTAATTGAAATGGAGACACCATGCATACCTTTGTCTGTTTTCAGACTCACTGTAACAAACCCATCATCTACTCCTTGTTTGTTCCTGCTGTCTAGGCCAACAACTAGGAAGTGGAGGGGCAGGGGGAGAGAGAGATCAGTGTGGTTTTTAGATACATACATACTTTTCATATGTACAGTGAAAAATACAGAAAAAGTTTACACTGCAGAAAATGCAGAATAAAAAAGATAGGACTAAATGATGATTTTTGCTTATTCGTAAATCTGCTGACAAATTCCATATAATTAATAACATAATTACTGAGACAGGGACCATCTTAGGTTTTGTTTGTGTAGTACGATTGGCCTGTGTTACCACAACAGAAGCAGCTTCTAGCATGATATATGTTTGGTGATGATATTAGTGCATCTTCTTTTGTCTAAGGGGACTTAAAATTGCCATCTCTAGTCCATTAATTCTTATCTGAATTTTCAAACAACCCTCCTTCCCCCTGTAACCTGAAGGATGGGCAATATTTTTCTTGAATCAGAGAGAAACTTAGCATCAAGTATCTCAAGAGAGAGAGTGCTGTTTAAGGCAACAGCAATGAGACCTAGGCTCTCGTTAGGGCACAAAAAGATTTCAAATTGCTGAACTACATTTTGATATATCTTTTGGATTCAGTTTTTTAGAATATTTTAAGTTCTGATCCTTTTGAAAGCCAATGTATTTATTCTCATTCTCCATCAAGGCGCATATGCTGCACTTATCACAAAATTACCTGTATTGCAAACACACGTTATTCTGAGAGTACTTCTGCAATGCCTGATCCAGGGGAGTTCTTAGTGTACACACCCCTGCACCTCTAAGGATATCAAAACATACACAAAGACTACATATTTCTTTTTACAGCAAATACTTCACTTACAAAGTTTAATCCAATAAAAAAAGTAGCTTTGTAAAAAGACATGTTGTTTGAAACACGTTACCTCATCTTTCCATGCCCAAGACAAAAGATGCCTACCGTGTGTACATTCTGGTGTGATGTCTTCAAAAAAGTACTGAGTAGCTTCAAAAGCAGAGTCTGGCTCTTCTTGCTCAGGGGATGGATCTAAGCAATAAAATAAAATTCTTTCATTAAAAATTCCACCCTTTAATTAAAAACTAGACCATATTTCCATTGATACATTTAGAATGTCAGTTTCTAGAAGTAAAAGCATGATGATGTGATGAGTTAAGAAACACCTCTTTTCAGCTCACAGGAGCTGAACAACTGGACCTGTACTGTCTCATCCCCGATACTCAATCCTGTCTGACTAACAAGGAGCTGTTTGCCTTCAGAGGCTGGCTTGCTCATCTTCCCATGTCTACTTCCATTACTTTCTTCTATGCAGCTCAGCGTGTCTTAAGCAGGGTACGAACCACTTCCTAGCTGGAAAGAGTCTGTTGTCATTTGGTGTGAGCTTACCAGTCCCCGAACACCAGAAGCTGCATTCTTAAAAATGGATCTCTTCTGTTAGAGTTCAAGAAAATTTTATTTTTTCCAGTTAAAACTAGTTAATCACTCAAGCCTACCTCCAGCAAAGCCAGCTGGGAGCAATTAGAGACACATGTTCAAGGCACATGAAGGTGAATGTCCTCTCAAAGCTTTTAGATATCTTTACCAGAGGATATAAATGTGCACGAGAATTAAACTGCCTGGACAGTGGCAACATATCACAGATTCAGTAAGGACAGCGATCGGTTCTTTATGCCAAACGTGTGACAAGCCAGAGAGGATATAGTTCCAGAACATCATTTTCTTCAGAGGCAAAACTGTTTTGAGCTGTTTCCCTCCCCTCTCCACCCTAAACTGCCTGTCTCACTCAGCTGAGCCCAACAGTTTGTACAGCTCCCTGGAAAACACATCCAGGAAATGATCTGGAGCTTCTCTCTGCAAACAGTTGTATCAGCCCAGAGGTGAAACCATGAAGAAAGCCTGGGGACAGAAATGAGAAACCAGGGCATACAGGAACATTTTAAGATAGCTTCACTATTAAATACAGGGCGTTACAGTAATAAAAGCTGAAGAATACTGTATTTGTTATACATGGGGGAAGTCACCAACCGCAGCTAAACAGGCAAGAGACACATATAAATGGCCTGTTTGTGGCCAGAGCAATAGAAGGCTCCATAGGTGCTTTTAGAGTTTCCAAATCCATGTCCGGTTATGGCAGAAGCTCTCTTATTTTACTGCTGCATAAACAGCTACAATAATTCCCACAAATTAATTTTTAATTGGGAAAGCTAGTCATAAACAACTCTGCTCCAAATTTCCGTTCTCAACAAGACAACAGCTATTTTAATATCATTTACTTACCAGGCAAAACATGCATTCTGTACAGTAACTTCAGCTTCTCTGTAAGATCTCCATGGCATGCCGCACCTAAACAGCATTATATACAGTATGTTAATACTCAGCATTCAATGCTGTTCTATTTATTATTGCTACAATATTTTGTTTTAGAAGCACTGTGCTCCCTTTACAGCCTGAGATCATAATGCAGTCATTTGACTTCTAAGATCATATGGTCTGCAGTAGTAACAGCAAGAGAACACAAACCACCTTACCCTGAACTTTGTACTTCAACTTGGGTCCTTCATTAAATGTCTATTTTATGCTCAAAAATAATCTATGATCATCACATTACCACTCAGAAAGGCCTCTAGCTGAAAGTGAAGAAGACCTTTTTGTGGGGACTTCAAATTTTCTGAGAATCCACTAATAACATCACATGATTTAGAACAATAAGGCATTGACCAAAAAAAGAGAGAGAAATTCAAGTAAACAGCATTTATCACAGGTTAGCTAAACTGATGTTCAGGCAATACTTTCTAGTAATTTATTCACCTCAACACCTGTTCCTTTCTGGTCTATGCTACAATTAGCTGTAGAAAATCCAAGGAGTCTACTGTAGCCCCTCCTTCCAATTAATTAAATGGATATTATTTAATTTTAAAGTACTAATCCAATCAATAATCAGACTTCTTCACAAATCTTACCTGTTATGACATGTAATTAATAAACAAATGAATTAACCTTCATTAATTAGATTACACATAGATTTATTTTATCTTGCAGGCTACTGTGTCAACTTAGCTCTGCTATGCAAACTACAAAGCTTGGTTTGGCAAATACTAAACGATCACAGTCTACTGTAAAGCTTACGCCTACAACAAATACAGATGTTAGGCCAAAGAACTGAGTATATCTACATTAGGCATTTTGCTTTCGGCTTGGTCCTTTTTAAGCACAAAACCTCCTTATGTTCCTATCTGGTGTACCACATCGTGCAGATAATGGTTTCCTTTCTGGTGAAACTATGTCTTAGGTTATGCACCTAAGTACTACCTGAATTGCCCCACTGCTAAAGGCAACATGAAATAACCAAAGCAAAGAACACGCTGCAGTTCTGTGTTCTCCAGCAACAGCTAGAGAAGTATTCACCAAAACAGGATTCAGGACATGGGATATCTGGTGGCACGTACCGGCTTGTTCCTCTCCCTATCCCCAGATCTGAAGAGAACTGGAAAAGCTCAACAGCTACTGCTTTTCACCTGAGATGAATCTGTGTGTGCCCTTTTTCTCCTCAAAATGTACACGAATGAAGACAACACAACGTGGGACAAGTCTACCAAAGATGTTACCTGGACTCTCAGAGACAACCCTCTGGGTCTCTCCTGGGAGAAGTCAGAAAATTTTACAAAGGGACGAACAGTCTACTGGCAATCTGCAGGAACTGCCTGGCAATTAGCTGCAAAGGGCTACCCAAGATCAGAGGACCGACGCTGTATTAAACAATAAAAAATATAAGACTACATTCATAAAGACAACTGAAGAGGAATGGACCTCTGGTAGACATGCCCCTATTATACAGAGTTAGGGGAGACCTTTGCATGGGTGGATACCTTGGCTCATTTTGACCAGCATGCTACAATATAATATAATCATTTCACAGGAGAGCCCAGAGAATTTGGTGGCCTCCTGCATGGCTTCTGTATCCCTGAACAGCAGAGCAGATGACCCTGCTGAGGGCCTGTGAACAGCACTGGGCAGGTGGCAAGACCGTTCTCAGTCTCAACCAGAAATACTTCTTTCCTGGCACTCTGCAGTCACAGGTCTTAAGACCTTCAACAACTTTCCAGAAGTTTTGTCTTTTTGCAGTACAAGTCTCAGATGATGCATCGCCGGTTTCTATCCAGAAGTTTTAAATTTACATTGTGGTGAGAGAAGAAACTGTGCTTGGGAGAGAGCATGACTACACCCTTTAAACAGTGAAAGCTGTCATCTTCACACTACAACCAATGTCCTCACACACCCCTGCTCTTACCCCTTGCAGGGCTTGACCACCACACCCGCCTCTTTCATGGCATGACCAGGAACAACATTCTGATTGTTCTCCTTCTGTCAACACTATGCAGGTGTCAAGTCTTTTCTGGGCATAATGTCATATCTACACAGCTTTTCCCCGTCTTCTTTGAGGCCAATGGGAAAGTAATTAAACAGGTTAGAACTTTATTCTGTTAATATAAAACTTAGTAGCAACAGAAAAGTGTTGGCTTCAGTTGCTTCTCTCTTGGTCACAGGTGGAGGGGTGTGGAGTGTTTGTACAGCGTTCAGCTTCCCGAAAGGATGGGAGGAATGGTGAGGTTAACACTCTACTTTCTGAACATCCTCTTGCAACCTGTGCTTGGAGAAAAGCTGTTTTCCGAAAAAAACCTTACAACAACCTACACTCAAGTACTCCTCGGGAGACACAGATTTCATGTGCCAACTTTTGCATGAGGCTGTGGTGAGTGCAGAAGTCACCAGCAGTGACTGGACAGGTGGAAGATCTGCATGGTCTGAGAAGGGAGTATTGCAAAAACATGATGGGATGCAGGCGTCCACTTTGAGTCTATGTGGAAATCTCTCTAGCTTATGGGCATCCCGAGTCATCCAGTGTGGTATGGGAGTGCAGGTGAGCTTCTTCATGACTTAATACCCCAGATGGCTCATAATCAAGACTGACAACCCTTTCTGAGCAGCATGCTCCTAGAGCAAACTAATCAAGACCGCTCCTTTATTTGAACTTGCAGTAACACAACACAGAGTCAATGTACAGGAAAATATGCAAGGTGGTTCCATCTTTGCTCAGTTGAGGCCCCAGAGGCACCTGAAGTAGGAGGCTGTTTAGCTATTTGCTGCAGGGGCTATGAAAAGGAAATGGAGATTCTCAGTTGCAATTACAGCACTCTCGTATCCCAAGGATTTCATGCTGACACAGAAGAAAGGGCCTCAAGCCCACGTAGGGACACACAGCACCCCTTTGGACCTCCTCTTCATGGAGCTCCTAGAAGGAGTCAGTGGCATCAAAGAGAGGCTTTGAGGGAGCAAACCCTTATGGCTATGTGAAATAAGGCCATGAAAGAGAGAGTTGTGAAAGGGAAATGGTTCAGGTGCCATGGTTGCTTCAGCTGTCAACAAGCACCCTCTGAGGTGGGCCATGTCTAGGAAGTATTTGAACAGAACATTTCCTTTAGGAAAGACAAACTTGACTAACCAGGGCCAGAGTCCAATACTACTGTCTGGATACAGTAAGAGAGAAGATGGTGCCCACAGGTCAGCTCTAGAAAGCCCATCCTCTAACCATGCTCTTTGGGACAGCCACAAGGAAAAGGTGACACAGTCCCCTGTTGAACAGATGCATCTTGCTCCAAAAGAAGGTATTTCTCATTTAGGAGACTTTCCTAGTCAAGGCATATTGGGCTGAACCAAAGGCAGACTGAAGCAGCTGATGATTGTGAAATTTTTAAAAGTCCTAGGGCATGGTGAAATATGCTCAAACAAATCTTAGAATGGTTTGGGTTGGAAGGGACCTCGAAGATCACCTAGTTCCAAGCCCCCTGCCATGGGCAGGGACACCTTCCACTACACTGAGCTGCTCAAAGCCTCATCCAAGCTGGCCTTGAACATCTCCTGGGATGGGGCAGCCACAACTTCTCTGGGCAACCTGGTCCAGTGTTTCATCACTCTCAGAGGGAAGAATTTCACCCTTAGATCTAATCTAAATCTCCCGTCTTTCAGTTTAAAGCCATTGCCCCTTGTCCTATCACTACATGCCCTCGTAAAAAGTCCCCTCTCCAGCTTTCTTGTAGGCCCCTTTAGGTACTGCAAGGCTGCTAGAAGGTCTCCCCAGAGCCTTCTCTTCTCCAGGCTGAACAACCCCAACTCTCTCAGCCTTTCTTCATAGGAGAGGTTTTCCAGCCCTCCAATCATCTTTGTGACCCTCCTCTCGACGTGCTCCAACAGGTCCATGTCCTTCTGTTGGGGACCCCAGAGCTGAACACAGTCCTGCAGATGGGGTCTCACAAGAGCAGAGTAGAGGGGCAGAATCACCTCCCTCAATCAAATCTCATGTTGTTTTTATTAACTGTGTTGTCCTTGCTACCATTCATGTGCTGCTTAAACAAGAAACAAAAAAGTGCTTGGGAACGTTGACTATATTAAAAAAAGTTAGTTTTCAAGCTATGCCACATTGGGTTTAGTTTCTAAAAAAAACATGTTTTTGCAGAATAAGTAGTTTCGATTGTTTAGCACGTTGAAGATTTAGTTCAATCATGTTGACTTAGTGCCATGCCACGTTTGTTCATTTTACATTCATTTCTGTTCACAGTGCTCAACACTGTTCCTCATTCTTATTATTCAGTATTGGTTCTAAAAAATGCTGGTTGATTGCTATTAACAGCAGCAACAGTAGTTAATCCATGGGTCATGTCTCAACAGGCCATTAACTGGCAAACAGTCAATTCTCAAATAAAATGCATACCTGCATCATAGAAAGTACTGTTTTTTTGGGTGGAGTGAAGGAGAGGTGTGCCATCAGTTTTACCCTATTTGGCACTTGTGAGAGAACAGCTGTTACAATTGCTGTACGGAGGTTTCAATGCAAGGCTGCATTTGGAGCCCTACTGCTTAAAAATACCACTACAAAGAGTTGATGAAAGCCAGACTAGGAAACCTTTTCTCTCTCAAGAAGGATCAAAATGTAAAGCTGGAGGAAATGCCAGGTAGCTGGGAAATAACCTGACAGATGGCGAGACATTGGTCACTTACAGGGAATAATTCCTGCTATATTCAAAATAGGGATGGTCAGCTCCTGCCTCATCTTTGCTTCTTCACATTAATCCTGGGGCTTACACATTCCCTTTGTTCCAGTATAGACTTTCATGTCTTGAAATCTTGCTTCTACAAGGCTTGCATGGGATGTAATCTCCATTAATAACATTCAGCCTCCCTGACCTGCACCTCCACTTTCTCCTTTTCAGATGACTTCCATCCTGCTCTCTCTCTCCCTTAGTCTGCAGTCTTGGTTATTGATTTCATAAGTAATATGGGTAGTACCTCTCACTGCGTATTCTGTGAGGTATGATACCTTCCCCTCATGCAGGGACACATCTATGTGGGGTATCAGCAGACTTCTGAAAAGAAGCACTTTTATTCAGGGGCAAACAAAACTAGCATCCTCACTTTGTCCTTCCCCTGCCACTTATACGTGCACATAAATTTCTCAAAAGTATTCTTCCTGAACAACCAATGAAGCAAATGCTGCCTCTTTCCCCTCTCCCGGCAAAAGGTATAAATTCTCAAAGGAAACACTTTGATTGGAAGTAATCACATTGTTAAGCACAAAAATCGCAGGTCATTTTCATGTTGAGAGTTAATGGTCAGGGAAATCCTCAGACCCAGTAGCTCATGCGTGGTCCTTCTCCCAGTGTGATACACCACTGGCTAATGTAGATGCACCTACTGAGAACAGCCTAAGCCCCAGTGGGAACCACTGTCACAAGCATGATAAAATGAACTGAATGGTAGCGTAAACAGCTCTTAAAACAAAGGTGACATGCAAACTGGTATATGTCAAACTCATTGTCTGACAGCTAATATAACATCTGTGTTTCTGAAGGACTGGATCCCCTTTAGACACAAGCTGTTTTGGTGAGATTATTTTGAGAGTGCTGTGAATTCTCCTTACTTAGCCCAGAGACGAATTCACGGAAGTTGATGAGCAAGTCTCCGTTTTCATCCAGAAGCCTGAATAGGCGTGCAGCTAACACATCTGAATGAGTTCCACATGCCCAAGGAAAGAGGAGAGCAAACATCCCCTTGAACTGCTCGAAGTCAATACGGTACTGCTCCAGATAAGGCAGGCTGGGATCATGCCGGTCAATAGCATTGCTGTTTCCTCCCCAGTAGCAGCTAGTCAGATGTTCTGCCTGAAAAGAAGGCAAATGCTGTGAGATTGTCATCACCTCTGTAAAAAACTCATCGCTATCAATGATTAAAAAAAATCCAAACAATTTATACACACATTCTTACAACTACACAGGACTAGCAGATATATTTCCATCTATTTAGCCCTTGCACTTCTGCAAGAGGTCTCTCCTCTAAGCAGAACAGGAAGACATCCCTCCACGAAAAAAAAAGAAGATAAAGCAGAACTTCTTCTGTCTCCTAGCCAGATGAAACATGAAATTCCTGTTTTGAACAGAGCAGTAAGCAGCTGTGACTTGCACATATACACAGGCTTGTTCTGCTTAGTCACCCCCTTCAAGCTCACCACACACTCAAGTCAGAACGGAGACTTCCCTGAAACCTTTTAATTTCAGAACATATGAAAACAGCTGTTTATTTGAAGTATTTTTTGTTTAACTATATAGTCTCAAAAATACTGTTTGAAGTCCTACTCTTTCAGTCTTACCGAAGTCAGTGAAAGTTCTGGAGCTGATTTTGGTGGAATCTAATTCAAAACAACTCAGAAGCTTAGAGAAAGAGATCATAGCACTGCACAGTGATCAACTGGAGTGGAATGTCTGACTCCATCTCACTGATTCCATGGAAGACTGAAAGAAGGCACTGAAGACTTCGGACAGTTGTAAGAACTGTCATTACAGATAGGAAACTGAAAGAAATTCTTCATAATATACCAACATATCTCTCTTATAACAAACAGAAGAAGAAACTATCTTGTTTTAAGGCACTGTATATGAAGGTGAAGCTAAAGCACTGTAACTGCTCATCTTTAAACTTGTGGATCTAATGGTATTGCTGTACACTCAACTTTCAAAGACACATCACTTTGTGACACTAAATTTCCAGGTAATACAGTATACATTAAGGCATTAACAACAGCAAAAATGACCTGTTGTGTTATGGAAGTATTAACTGTCTGAGATAACAGAATAAAGGTATTTCTGTGCTACGTTCTAAAACTTGGGTCAAGTAGAGACGCACATACTTCAGTTTCTGAAGACTGATCAAAAGCCTCTATATATTTGTTTTTTCATTATAATAGTTTTCATCAGTATATTCATTTTTTTCCATTAACAAATCATTTGCTGCATTACTTATTTCCTGAGCTTTTGAAAACTAGTTGGGTTTTTTTTTGTGTATTCAATAATACAGCAGCTAACTAAAATTTTTATTAAGATTCTGATAGTAACTCTCAGACTCAACCTGTTCTTTAGAAAAGAAACAGTACCATAAAAAAAACCAAACACATTTGCATTGCCTGCAGGCACATGATCTTTTCTTCACTTAGCTTTACCTTGAAAAGTGCATACAGTTCCTCCAGTTCATCAATAGTAAAGGAAGTCTCTGTCACAATAGTTCGTACCTTTTGAAACACAACAGTAACAGTTACGGATTTGAAATCCATGTCTCACTAAAAAGCTAATTTAAATTTCAGAAACTGACTGACCTTAATCTTTGCAAAGAATATTATTTCAGCACTTACCACATTGCGCTTTGTAGTATCTTCAAGGGTTTGGATAACTTTCAGCCTTTGTTTGAATCTCATTTGTTCAATTAAATCTGCTCGGATACTTCCAAATTTCTTAAAAGAGAAAAAGTAGTACAGCATAGTCTGTGTGTTAATATTTGCAATACTTAGCTAGCCTTTAATGTATTTAAGAAATTAATTTAATTATGTGATATACCACAAATGGTATGTTTAAAAAACTGCTATTAAGGCATTAACACACGACAAAGTTACGAAGACTTTAGGAAATAGAATTAGATTTTATTTTCCCCAGTAACTTATTTTCATTTAATTTGAAAGGTTTTTATTAAGTTACAAATCCTCAGATTTCAAACTTTAATCTCAGTAGTTAGAAATTTCTTCCTTGGCAAACCTCTATGAATAGATTGTTTCCTAACTCCTTCTGCAGGGTTTTATTTCAGCTTGCCCTGGAATATGTCTTAATTGCTACAGAGAGAGAAGATATTTAGACTAACTAGATCTCTAACAGCTGAGACAGTACAGAAGTTCTTACATTCATGAGGATCTGAAATCAAGCATCAAGAATGCAACTTCCATTAGGAAGAAGATTCTCAAAAGTGCCCAAGTCTTATTTTCGGAAGTTTTTTTTTTAAATGCACATAACAGTCTCAGGGAGATTCTGCATATACTACAGAAGCATCCCAGGGGAAAACCTATTAGGAATAATATTGCATGTTTTTGCATGTAGAGGAATGTCTAAACCCAAAGACTTCTTTTTGTGAATTGTAAGAAGTCTTTTTGACATCAGGAAAACACTTGTAAACACATACTTAGAAATGCACAGATGACCAGCAGGAACAGTAGTGCCAGACATCGAGTATGCCACACGTAAAACTAAAAGGGGGTGCCAAGATACGCTTTCAGACAGGATAGATTTATACTTCCAGTGCAAGTGCATCTACACAGGCAGTGATCAAATTAATGCTAAAGCTGTGATGCTACTTGCACCTTTATCTTGCTCCTCACAAGTAAAACAGATGTTTCATGTACTTGGAATATTTAGCAAATAAAGAAGTCTTTTGAAAAAATGGAATCTAGATAAACATCCATGAATATTAAGCATCACAGAGGTCACAAAACCTTGAAAAAGAGAGGTATGCTGTGGCTCTGACACCACGTCTATTCCAGTAATCAGGGCTTATTCTCTGTCTGGAGGCCAAATGAGGTGGTCTGTTCACACCCATATAACTAAAACTCACGTAGCCTACAGAAAAGGAAGGTTGCATGCAATTACCTTATGGGAATGGTCCCTTGCTCACGTTAAATTTCAAATCATACCAGGAACTATGGGAAGCTTGTCACTTGTTCTAGGTCAAAACTGTACCAAACCTTTCAACAGTACAGACCTTTGAGTGTCAGTTGTTTAGTTAAAACGGCCAAGATCAGATACTACTACAGATATAGCTTAAGTTTTTAAGGCTCATTTTTTTTTTCCACATTAACTAACACATAAATTAAACGATTTTTAAGCACATAAGAGCTCTGAATATTTGAATCAACACACCACTGACAGTTAGTGAGCTATACATAAGCTTTTAAAGCTCTGGTGATTATGCATTATTTCAGTCATTTCTATTGTAATTATTGTAACGTCAGGCTCTACCTATGGCTTCTGAATTAATTGCAAAATTGAATGAAAAGGTAAGAGATTTTTTACTAAAAAGTATTTTCAGTAAATGAAAAAATTACTGGCAGGGTAAAGTGTATTTTTAATATTGTATATTCTCTTATTCCAAGAATGTTTCTCTTTTAAAAGCAGAAAGTCAGTTCCATATCATCACAGAGAGGAGTGCTAATCACTTAATTACCAAAAAATTCCTCTGCATCACTTCAGCTTTCACTGGAGACTTCCCATATATCCATCTGACATGATTACCTAAGAGCTGGACAGGATCGGAGAGCGATGGAAAGTAACTCTTCATAAAACAATACAAATATTGTGCTTTTGCCAGTGCTACTCCTTCACCAAGTTCTCAGACTCATTACGCTCCCATAACAAATACCTAGGACAGTCTGCAAGGGACAAGGTTCCCCCCACTTTGGGGACATGTTTGTGTGTATCAGGGAGGACAAAGCATTTTTTTCAGCTGTAGGTCTTCCTATTTTTTGTAAACAATAAATGCCTAGAAGGTTAAGGATGGTTACCAAACAAGTACCTTTAACAGCTTAAATTCTAAAAATAGCAAAGATGTGCTCTCTTACTCAATATTTTGCTCTTAGTAGTTGCAGCAAAGCTAACATCATGAGCTCCCAGCCCTGACTACACACAATTAATTAAGGAATGTAACAGCCATTGAATAATAGATTCCTTGGAGTTTTTTATTTTGATAGTTTACTATTTAATTATTGGGTGTTTTTTTAAATAATCAAACCAACTAACAACGACTCCCCTGAAACTAATGCTCTCTTTGCAACCAACCCCTGCTTTCCTTGCAGTTCTTCACTCCCTCATGCTATTTGTTTTGCCTAATTATACTGCTGTACAGCTGGTTATTTACCTAGAAGGAGCTACAAGGTTCTGTGGTGCATAAGCCCAAAAAGACAGATGGGTTCTGCACGGAGTCAGGTTAATCATCTAAAAGCAGTTAAGCCAATGCAAGCTGTCTTCACGATGAGGAAATCAGAAAAATACAAGGGAAACAATTTCATGTAAACGTCCTTCTCCCCATTACAACACTGTGTGAAGGAAAATACACCTAACTTAATTCAATTTGCCTTTCAGAGCAGAATAAACTAAGGACTACTTACTTTCTTGTTAAACAGTTATCACATTATTAAAGCAAGGAGGTTTTAGGGACATAGGAGATGCCTCTGAAACAGCTGTCATATTGCTAAGTATGAACCTACATCTTGAGCTAAACATACTAATTGATCCTGCATATCAATGGAAAGAAAAAAGGAAATTGAGAATAACTCTTTAAAGTTATTCTTTAATTTTTATTAAAAATTTATGTGTCAGTGTAATCATCAGGGATATTTTAATTGATAGCTTGTTTTTAAAATTTAAGGGCAATGAAACTGGCTTGCAAATTTTAGGGTTTTTTTTGCAGGCTTTGTCTTGTGCTTTATAGCTATTAGTTATTACCAGTTCCTTTCACTTGAAATTTTTTTATCTTTTTGTGATAATACAGAAGGTAGTGGCCGATGGTCGTAATCAGCACTTTCTGGGGGAAGAAAAAAAGAAGGAAGAAAAAAAAAAGGGGTAAAAGAAACAAAGTTCCACTGATAGTAGAAAGTCTTCTGAAATCATATAGATTTCATTAACATTTCAGTCTGGAAAAGCATGAAAAAGCTTAGATGAGAATTAATCTTTTTTTAATCACAAGTTCAGTCCTTAGTTTCGAAATCACTTTCTGGTTGGAGGCTGCTCTCCTTTGATGCTGCAGCCTTCTATACAAAACAGCTCCAATTAAAAGTTGTGGTTAAAAGGAAAATAAAGCCTAACTAATCTCCCTGCCCAGTTTCAGACTTGTCAGATGAGTCTGTATTTCTTTAATGTTCTTTAAGTTCCAAATGAAGTCAAACTACAGAGTATCGAATCCCCCTGTAAAGCAGAACTAGTGTGGGTTGGCAAGTTCCTGGTAAGAAATCCTATCCTACCTCATAGGAAGACCTGATTAGTCTGAAGATATCCACCTCAGGATAAGGCTCCACATCATCACTGAGCAGCGAGTGAAGATGAGGAATGGGTGGAAGAGTGCTGTCCTTATTAGTTACGCTGTCCAAATATCTAGTGGAGACAAAAATTAGAAATGAGAAACCCAAGATTCATTTGTATCGCCATCCTTCTGAGAGTTAACAGAATAAGGGTTACACATAGATTATTAAATGTAAAAATGATCAAGCCACTCTCTACTAACGAAATACACGATTTTTGACATCAGTAATTTGCCAAATTCTAACACTGCTTTTTCTCAAAGAGACCTAAGGTAACCCTGGTAATTAATTACCCTTCTCAAGAAACAGCTCAAATATAGGTCGGCACAAACGAGTGGCTTACTGAACAGGTTTGTTGCTTCTGGCTGTTTAAATAAGCCAAGGGAATTATGACATTGGTGCTTCAGCCTACATACCCTCCCTGCCCTATTACTGCCCAGCCTCACTGCAAGGGGCTTTAAGGGCTTTTTCCTCCCACTGGTGCAGCTGCTGTACATCATCTGTCTTCTATCCTGCAGCAGCAGAACACTAAAGTCCTCAGCGAGCACTGGGTCTTACTTCAGAAAAAACATAACCACAGTTGTCTTTAATCCCAAAGAAACTAAAAAATAGACTTCAGTAAGGCTATACTAATGAAACTCACTAGGAAAAAAATTTCCAAAGTTCCAGCAGCATCTTGAAAAGTAAACACTGGTACTAAACACAAGGAAATCGGAGGTTGCACTCAGCAGTATTAGTTTGTATTAAATAACTCAATACAGTATCTACCAGCCTCCTGTTTTACTGAACTCTATTAAGAGCCTGCCTAATTCTTCTGAGTTCCATTTAGTCCATTCCCAAAACAATTTCCTCTGAGACCAAGGTTTTCTCTTAGCAGCTTTTAACAGTAGCAGGCAAAAGATGAAGTAACAAAAAACGATGTAATCAACTAAAATAATAATCCAAAATAAGTTTCTATAACCAGGTTTGGGAAGTTTATTTGAATGTCTTGAAAGAAAAATTTGTATCTTGTTGGTCACTTTACATTACTTTAAGATAATATAAAGAGTATCTTATATGGGTGAGAAGGGACTATAAGCGTATAAAAGATTTACATATATTGTACTGGTTCAAATTGAGTATTTCTACATAGAACACAAATCAGAGAAGTAGGCAAAAAGAAAATGAAGAGACTTTATTTTCTGTAATAAATACCTTCCCAAGACTGTCATGGCTTCTCCATCATCTTTACAGTTAAGCAGCTTGTCTACATTAGCATCGAGGACAGCGAGTGCTAATTGAAATATCACCTTTATTCCTTCACAGAAGAAACAATCGACAACCACCACTGCACTCTCAAAAGGCATTACACTGAGGAAAAGAGTGAGGAACCAGGACAGGGAAATGGTGGATATTACACCCAAGTCCTGCATGCAGTCATAAAGCTGTGGAACATAGTCACGAGCCAACTCTTCAAAGACACCCTGATCCACCAAAGCTCCTGTTGAAAATAAATAAGGTGGATATCCATTAATTCAGGAGCAACTGACCACATCACCATCTAGGAGAGAAAAAAATACATACACATATATTCTATATATATAAATACAAAACCTAAGAACATTCTACATGACGCTTATACACATTTTCTCACTTTCAGATAAGTAACAGATTCTATTCACCTACTAAGCTGTACATACAAATCGAACTGTAAAAAGGTTTTTTGTTTTAATTATACACTTCATCAGAGCTAACGAAGGGTCAATTCAGTATAGCACCTACAGAAGTCATATGATGGGTTAGTACTTACCATTACTAATTAGAGGAATACTTTTCCGCATCATCTATTGGAGGAGGCCAGGCTGACTGTCTGTGAGGGTTTGGATTCAAGAGAACCCTGTGTCATACATATCTCTGCCATAAGATCAGTATCTTAAGCAGGTCAGGAAGAATAATTTCTAAGGCGTCAAGTACATCAAGCATTTGGGAGCTCCAGTAAAGACAGTTCCCATGATGAACTGAAGAGCCATTCGCTTCCAAATACACAAGGAAACCATTATCTGACAACAATAGCTTTCAGATACTTGTGCCCTTTCAAATCAGAGGTAAACAGGCATAAAAACTTCTACTGCAAATTGCCAAAGCTCCTGTTTCTACCTTACCTTTATTAGATAACTGATTACCTAAGATTCACATTTTAGCCTCCCATCTCTTCTTTATTTACTTTGTTTAAGCTCACTTTACCAAGTAATTTGGATAATTTTTGCACTGTCATTTTAGAAAATTTCCCCATAACATACCAACAACTCTTGTGTTGTAGTAGTCAGGCAGCATACGTTCACACAGAGCCACCAGCAGCCAAAAAGCTTCCTCCTCTTTTGCATAAAGGAGGAGTACTGAAGTGACAATATTCATAGCCTAAAACAAAGAGAAATATAAATTTCCTGGACCTATTTATTAAATATTTAGCACAGTAACTCGGCAAGTAAGTGGCTACTATGGTTAGGAACTTAGCTACATCTCCCCATACAGATCCCAAACTGTTCAAGTATTTTCCTGTGAAAACAGAAGGCAGTGTTTTCCCAGTGCTCTATGGAAGGCTTAAAGTCTCAAATAAACCACAAAAAATTGTTAAGTGTTGCTTCTTTTGTGTTTGGTTGGTTTTTTGTTTTGTTAAAAGAAAAAAACAAATCAAGATGTCTTTTCACAATCAAGGGCCTACTCAGGTCTGCAAGTATCCCGTCACGCTGCTACTGATGTTTTGCCAACAGGTGCTCTTAGGGAATCTGGGTCTGATGCAGACAAAGTGCCTCCTACAGCAGTACTGATGGCCGCTGCTGCACCACTCCCTGCCGAGGCAGATTGCCCTCTCCATGCCTTCTGCTCCGATGAAACGGTCGAGACACAGCACCTGGGAGCCGAGGCAAACGCCTGTAATAGTGTCAGTCGTGAACAACTAGAGTGCAGAGAAACAAAAGTCTCCTGCTGTTGTTCACTCTCCATGTTTGACTATACATGAGTTTATGGCCCCTTTCACTCCGTTCCAGCTATCACAGCATTTTACAGTGACCTCTGAATTGTTTGCTTACAGCCTTTGACTAGACCTGTGTTAGTCTGAAGAAATGAAGTATTTTGGTACCATTTGCTTCTCAATTTGCCTCCTAAGGAATTAGCTGCTCATTTCAGATCCTATAACATTTTAAGACTCCAGCTCAATCATTACCCGTATGAAACAGCAATGAAGGTTTCAACTGAAACTCAGAACAACATTACAACTCTGTCATGGTCCATGCTATTCCTTTTTATCTTGTCTACCATGTATGAAATACTACAGTGCCCAAATTCTCACTGTAACCGTGAAGAAGCTGCCCAGGGAGGTGGTTGAGTCCCCATCCCTGGATGTGTTTAAGAATAGGGTGGATGATCTACTTAGCGATATGGTTTAATGGGGATTAGGGATGGTTGGACTCGATGATCTCTAAGGTCTTTTCCAACCTAGAAATCTATGAATCTATGAATCTATGAGTCAGCATTCTGAATGCCAGGGACCAAATCCCACAGCCATTAACAATTACTGTGACAGCTTTAAGAACCAGAATCACAGTGTCTTTCTACTGTTCCTCTGTTAAACAACCTTCACAAAAAGTTTTTGTAGCTATTACTTAGTATTATATTTGTAATTAAATAGTTTATGATGGTATCTGTTAGAATTGCTTGCACTTCCACTTACCCATGATGCATCTAGACGTCTTAACAGTCAGATATTAATCAGGCTTAATACTCAGGAATTAAAGTTTTCTTTTTGCAAAAATAGGTAGGAAGGCAAAAAGAGAGCCCAGATGATAAGTCAAAGCTACATAGCAAGAAAGAATGATTTGGGATCAGATACTAAAGTGACCTGAATCATAAGCATAAGAACTCCAAAACCATGCACTGGTCAGCATTAATTCTATTGATACATGGTTGTGATGCACAGTGATAAGCTATCTTCTAGGGTGCTTTTTTTTAATTTTTTTTTTTAAGTTTTGTTTTAAATGATTGAATGGCGTCATTGCAAAAAAGTACGGGAGGTTCTGGATGGCCATTACAACTAATACATTGAATAAGTAGGTAAAAATTTAAGGCTGGCAACTAAAGTTTGAGGTTTTTTTCCTGCTTAAAGGAACCTTTCTTGAGGGTCCATTTGCCATTTTCTGTAGATGCACTTCAGGACAGCTCTGTTGTTATTCTCTGTCCAGTCTCCAGATTTATGGGCAGAAGACATGCTTCCAGAAATCTATGCACATCTCTCAGCATGCACTGCTAATACTTCTGTTAGAGTATGTTAGAGGAGGTCTTTGTGTCAAATCCCTCTGACCTCAGCATTACTGTAATTCTGCAGCATTGAGGCTTTACGTCACAGCATTATACATGTATCAAGGTACTTTACACAGCCAAATACTCGTGTACGTGACTGAAGAAATAAGAGTATAAGGAAAGAACTGGAATTCCAGAAATTGAAAGGAGTGACAAGGTATTTCCATTACCTGACAATATCCTATGTTTGGATTTCTAAAAGCATAAGCTGTCAAGACTCTCCTTAGAGCAGCAATACCCATCTCATTCTGGAACGCAGGGTGTTCCGGAAGGGAGCGGTGCAGATCCCTCTCTATCTCTTCTGTGGCAAGGTTATACTTCCCCATCGATTTCTCCACTAGGTCCTCATAATAGCCAGGATGAGTGGCCATTTCATTAATGGCTCCTGAGAGTGGGAGAACAGTATTAAAACCAGAAGAAAAATGCAAGGGTTAGCAGATACAGTATCCCAACATGATGATCATCTGCTACCCTTTCATCTTGAATGTCACCAACAAGCGGTTTAAAAGCAAATACGAAACGTTACTTTTGCAAAAGTGATTAAAAGAAAAATGCTTAGGTGATTGAGGTACCACTCCTTCTTGTCTTCTGCCCTAGAGATGTTTTATAATGAGGTTAAAAAAAAAAAAAGAAAAAAAGGGAAGAAGATAAAGTCTGCCTCTCAGCCAGAACGAAACAGGAGGCACAAAGAACAAACCAGCTGTGCAGTCACATGGTATCACGAGCTCTCTCTGCAGTTGGCTGTGGGTTTGATTATCCTAAATAACTCAAAACATGCCTCTGAGAAAGCTATTTGCCCTGAGGAGGGAGTAGATTCATGCTTGGCTGCAGAAAGTATGATACCTCAGCCAAAAGCAAGAGACAGGAACTCTTGAGCTCTATTCCTGCTTCTGAAGATGACTCTGTCATCCTCAACAGGGCACTTTGCCTGTCTTAGGGATATTATCCCATGCTCACAGAGTTGCTATGAGATTTCACTGCTGGCTTTAAAACTTCTCCGGAAATGAAAATCTCAGCAGCAAAGGAAATCAAGTGTCAGTAGCACAAAGTAACGTACGTGGAAAATACTAATTATACCTACATCATCAAAATTGGTCCAAACTAGCTATTAATCAGACACAGGGCAGATCTGTGCGTTCCTGTGTATATTTTCTGATAATGTTTGTTTAATGCCCAGCAGCAAAGAGAAGATGTACAAGATTAAGCATTATTAGGGAACAAGTAGAAAACAAACCAGGAAGCATCATTTGGTCATCATATAAAGTCCCTGGTGTGCTTGTATCCTTAATGGTGCTAGTAGACGTAGTAACTATCTTGCTAAGGGGCAGAGCTAGAGAAGGCATACTGTAAGTGAAAGGTTATGAAGAAAGCCTGAAGTATAGACTGATTTCCATATAACTAGTAATAAAATGAATAAAATTCTTCAACTTCGAAAAAAAGCTTAAGGGGAGACAGATCCAGAGAATCCTTGATGGCACAGACATGGATAAAAATATTTTCTCACCATTTTTCACACACTGGGGGCACCTAATAAAATGATAAAGTACTTTTATTATTATTTAAAAAGAAAACAAAGATAAAAGTTCCATGCAATACGCCCAAACTCTAGAATTCCTTGCAACAACTTGCTGTGAAGGCCAAAAGCTTAATTGGATTCAGAAATGATTAAAACAAATGGGAAGTAGGCCTGCTGCTGGTTGCTAAACATCTAGAATCCCCTAGACTGCTGGCTTCTGGTAACAAGAGTGTATGTTCTGCTTTTTTGTATTCTTCTCTAAATATTTGAGCCTGTTTGAGAAAGGGTACTTACTGGTCTAAACAGAACTCATGTCTAAACTAGGCTGGCCCCTGCTAACAATCACAGTCTTAACTTGCTCCAAATATTTTTAGATACTTATTATTTGCACGTTTAAACATCCTTGAAATCCTTTATTCCCTCATGCTTTTGCTTATATCCCACAGTCACATTCAAATGAACACCTACCTGAGAAGAGAAGCCAAAGCTCCCCTCTCATGCCTTCTGGAATGCCTTTCAGCACAAGGTCTCTGGTTTTCTCTGTACGATACATACAGACTCCTTGGCCATATTCGGCAAAGTGAATCTTCCAGGCCTGTTCCTTCAAAAACTCTTTAGCCTAAATGCAAAGAAAGGCAGGTGTAAAGATGCAGCTTAGACTCTCACACTCTGCCCCACTGAAACGCTAAACAGCCTGCAAAGTCCTGACTGTCCAACTGAGCAAGAAACAACTTGGCTACAGTCCAATTCTCTTAATGGGCTGCCTCCTCCCATGCCTCAGATTCTATCCCGGCAGACCTTGCTGTTAAAAGAATATTGTTGAAGCAGCTGTACTTAAAAGCAGGCATACAACCTCTCCTTGATTTACATGCAACTTTGCTTTTTTATGTAGTGAAGTTGTTTGTATTGGTAAAACGAGAGCACATTCAAAGCTTTATTCTGCCTCTTAACTCTCTGTGGCAGAATGAAACTCTTCTGGGTCAGAAACACGGATTTTAAAGAAAACATAATTTAACAACTTTTTGAGTCAGGTACAGCACTCTGAGGTGTATTTTACCAGCTTGGGGTTGAACTCCTCAGGGGACCTCCGTCGATACATCGTCATTAAAGCTTGAGTTGCTGTTGGAATGCCGTTGTCATTGAGATTGAACTGTCGCTCTCCCTCCGACTCAGAGCTGAGGCTTTTATGAGGGCTGGCAGAAATTAAACTACTTGATCTTGTAAACACCTGTAGAAAGGAGTCACAAGCAACGCAGACATGAGGCTGAGCCAGAGTCTGGACTTTTTACTTCATTTTACTTCAAAAATCTATACATGCCCACAGCTAACAAACTGAGAAAATTTAAATTACCCAGGTATATTCACAGGCTGAGCATATGACAGCAGAAATTCTACCAGTATAGAATAATGCAATTGTTTCCAGTTTCTCAATAGCTACCTCCTCCCCAGGAAAAGTAATCAAATCCTATAACTAGAATTGCTAAGGCAATGTTAAGTAGCCCTGGGCAATTAAACCAGCTCGCTTGGGCTCCTGTCAACATCATAGAATCATAGAATGTTTAGGGTTGGAAGACACCTCAGAGGTCATCTGGTTCCAACCCCCCTGCCATGGGCAGGGAAACCCTCCACTACATCAGGTTGCCCAAAGCCTCTTATCCTCCTGGCCTTGAACACTTCCAGGGATGGGGCATCCACAACTTCTCTGGGAAACCTGTTCCAGTGCCTCACCACCCTCAGAGCGAAAAATTTCCTTTCTTATATCCAATCTAAATCTCCCCTCTTTCAGTTTAAAACCATTGCCCCGTGTCCTATCACTACATGCCCTTGTAAAAAGTCCCTCTCCAGCTTTCCTGTAGGCCCCCTTTAGGTACTGGAAGGCTGCAATAAGATCACCCTGGAGCCTGTTGATTCCACAGGTGGCTCCTTGACTGTCCAGAATGTAAGATTTATGTATAACATATATTTATATATGTGTGTATGTACATAGACATTTACGTCTGTATATATGTTTATACAGACATAGACAAAATAAATTATTTTGTTCCTCTCAAAAAAAAAAAGGTTCTACAGAAAATTCAACACTGTCAGATTGACGATTTGGAAGAAAAATATTTTGAAGAAAGGATTTTCTGACTTCTGAAACGGCTTTGGAAATCTATCACAGTAAGATCTCATATAGCAATTCACATCAAATGCCTGAAATTGAAACTAGTCACGCACGTCTACGTATGTAGTTATATGACTAAATGTAATAATAATGCTTGCAATTATTAATTTGTGTTTATAATTCAGTAGGTAGAATATGTAGATTCATTTAGGGCAAAAGGCAAGACAAAGTTACAGCATTATACATATATGCATATGTGCTCTGGTACACAACTACACCACCACACTAATTATGCCTCGCCATCAACAAAGCAAGTAAAAAAACGGCTTTTAAGATTTACCTGGCCAACAGGGTAGGGCTACTCAGTGCAATATTGAGGTACAGCTTAGTACAGACTCAGAACGTGAGATCTACCTACACAATACCAAAATGACACACCACAAAAGCCTTTTCTGCTTTGAGATCTGAACTGTTAAATTTTGCTGGGTTTAACAGATCTGATGAGGTTGTGATGAAAAGCACCTAAATTTCACACAAAACCGAAGGATTCGGCAGAAGGCTTGATATTAAAAACGCCTGAGAAAAGTTTGTCTAATCATATCTTTTAAGAACCATTTACTTTGAATAGGTAAATAGGGAGATGGTTCAGAACAAGGCCATCTGATATCCAGGACAGAGTTTGGATTTTTTTTGTTAGTTCAAATGATCCAAAGTTCGCTAGCAGTGCACATGCAAACTTGCTCAGCTCAGATGTTGTTTTCTGAAGAATCAAAGGATGAGATTTTACAGCTAAAGTCTCCAATAAAAAGAGTTTCATATCAACTGATCATTTCTTCAAATTATTAAAATTCCACAATTACATTTTGACTTTGACAAAGTTGACAGATACTAAACAGTCTTACTCAATTAACCAACTGGTTAACTATGACATTTTCCAGCAAGATACACTGTAATTTCAGAATGTGGCAGCAGGAGTTAGAGCAGCTCATCCACAGCAATGGTGATTTGTCTTAGGTCTAAAATGAAAAAAATAGATTCCCGAATCGTAACACTTCAACTGTTCAGCTTGAGAAAGCTAAAGGCATTAACACAAAATAGGTAACATTTCTGTGTACAAAGGTTTAGCTTTACAAAAATTTAAAGGGTTTTCCTGGCTTCTCTCTCCTCACACCAGTTAAAATCCCCTTCTAGTAAATGATTCATATTCTTCCACATACCTCATCATCTGAGCTGATATAGCTTCCAGAAATATTTTTTTCCAAGTATATTTTTGAAGTGGTTTGTTGCAGAAAGTCTGAGATCCTCTGTACAAGAAAGTCTCTGTCTTTCAAGTTGGCAAAGAGGAACGTCATTCTGTTTTTCGTGCTGATTGATAACGGGCTGGGCAACACACTGGAGCTGTCTGCCTTTTCCACTATTGTCACCTAGAAAGAAACAGTAGCTACAGCTTAAGATCTTTAATTAATCAAGTTGCTTGTGGTCTAAGAAACCATCTAAATACAATAAACCCATGCCCCTTCCCCCTCTTATATTGAATTGCTACGGACATCCCTCTACAGGAAAAGAGGATTTGGATACAAGGACTTAAAAGTCTGAAAGATGAAGACTGTCATCCCTCAAACAACAAGCTTCAGTACATTCTCCAGCAAAACTCCTTCGCAGTGTTCAGTTTATTTTCCTCAGGCTTTTAAAAGAATCAGTAAAACAAAATTTCTTCTGAGAGATGCAGATCTGCAGGCTTTTTATAAGACCTCCAAACCCCTCTCCTGCTCCCCAACACCAGTACAGGTGTTTCAACAGAAACTTTTGCTTACTTTTTATTGCCAATACATACGAATAAGTCATTTTTTGGACACTCTTGTACTACTATATTATAGTTGCATACTGTGATGACACTGTTACTGCAACTGTATTTTCACAGTACACAGAAACCTGCAAGAAAGGGAAACCAACCCCATGTCTTTCCTTACAAAGGAAAACATCTAATCCAGTGAGGTGGAGGTTTCTGTTTGGCTTTCCAATTGTTAGTGTAACTGCCATTAGTCTAACTGAACTCCGTCCTGTAAACAGTACTCACACCATAATCTACTAAGTACAGGGCACTAGTTCCCTGAGCTTTTGGTAAAACACTTAAACACAAAGAAATCTCAAGGATAAGTCACACACTGTGGATGAAATATCTAACAGTTGTGTGTTATAAACATTACCAATTACTAGCCTTAAAAATGAATAAACCAATGAAGTTTGTGCAGTTCATACATTGAACAAAACACAAATCACAATTTTGAGTACTTCTAACCACCGCTTTTTACGACTTTAAACAATTTCCTAGACAATGAAAACTGCCTTACTGCCTTCAGAATAGAAGAGGGCACGTTTTGGTTTACTAGGTTCTTTACTTTCATTTTTTTAAGAAAACTCTTTTAGAAACAGAGATCGATGGTAAGACATTAGTGCTACAACATTAGTATCTCTCTAGGGAAAAGGATAGGATAACAATTTTTCATATAACATTTTCTTTGAAGATGTATTTTAAGACTGCAATGCACGCACAGCCCAGGTGCTAAATCACTTACCCTTCCAACTTCCTTTGATTTTTCTGTTAGCTACGAATCTGTTAGTTAATGAGTAACTTCAAGGACCTTCACTATTGAAATTAGCTAAAAAGAGTTCCTATGTCATTTTTCTGTTCCACTTAATGATGGTTTGAGCGTAATCAGCACAAGAGAGAGACAAGTTCTAGAGGCACAGGACAGACGTTAGAGCAAGCATGCTCTGCTATAATGACAGCCGATATCCACTTCTTTCCTATTCAAGCAGAGACACACACACACACATATCCAAAGTGCTCATCCTGGAGACTGCATCTACAGGGTGCAGTAAGCAGCACAGTCAGCCACTGAAAATCATCTTTTCCGAACGTCATTTCTGAATGAATGCCTTGTTATTGTCTCATCTGTCAAAGCATCTCCAGAATAGCACAAAATACTGGAATAAGGTTAGGGTCTGACCCAAAGCTCTAATTAAATCGAAAGCTTCCCTTTAATTATTAAGGTTACTGACCAGTTGTTCTGACCAGGACTGGTGCTACCCAGTGTGTTATTGTTCTCCTTGCTGGTGAACAGAGTCTCAGAGACTTAACCCGTCCACACAAAAGCACTTACTCCTTCAGCTATTTCTTTCTCTTAAAGCTTTAGAGCTGCTTGGAATCCCATGCTGCTGCAGCTGTGGTTATCAAAAGCAGTTGCTCAATCGGCATCCAGGAAAAGAGGTCCTGTTAAATGCAGACTTTGTCCTCCTCCTCCACCACTTTACCTGGAGGACTGTTGTTCCCTTGGAGTTCCAGACAAACAGTGCAACCATAACTGAATGTCTCTTCTCAAATAGCCAAAGCCATTGCAACACATTGAGAAAAAGCTGTACTTCAAAGTTTCCAAACAAATACCATTTGTTTTTACTCTTAATGATTTGTGGGGGAAAACAGTGCCTTAAAATATTCCATGGTTCTTCAGTCAAGTCAAACTGGTCTTGGTTACATCAGCTTTGCTACTATTTCCAAGGCTTACTTTACAAATTTTTCCATTAATCCACGAATCAAGTAAATCATAAAAAACCTCTCCGACGTAATTTTTTTTATTGCATCAAACAAATTCTTTTTACTGGCCACCTGCTTTAAGCAGCCAGCTTTAAAAAGGGAAGCACAACAATTTGTAAAATGCTGAAAAATATTTCCATACACAGGAATAAATGATTGCAAGTCTGTGTGAAGAGACAATGCAAATCTTTAGGATTATGAATCTTTTTACATCTGACAAAAGCAAATCTTATCTGACAGATTCTTCAATAAAAGTTTCACTCATCAATCCAGAAAGTTTTATCGTCTGTCCCTCCCTGTAAGGCACAAGAAACGCAGCATGGGACTGTAAATCAGAGTATAAATTATGGGAGAGGACGGACTCACAAGGGTTGTAAAAAACTGTAAGAGAAAACTCCCTGTGAATTTTACTAGTAGGAACTTTCAATGAAGATACACAGTCATTAAATATTACTTAGAGCACGTCAGAATAGTATGCTCACAAGAGATTAAAGGGATGAAAAGAGGTTTCTCTCCAATAATGAAAAAAACATCAAAGCTAGGATGCAATTTCTGATAGGATATTGCTTTATTATTTGCCCTATAGATTTACAAATACAAGTATTTACCTCTCGAAGGGGAATAATAAGGCTGCACAAGTTCTCTTCTTTACTAGTAAAGCAAATGTAGTTTGTAGAAACAAACATCTGACCCAAAATATGCATTTTGTTGAATGGAGTCCAGAGAGTACAGTCTGTGTGTCCATCTAATTTCTCATCCTTGGGAAGTCGGAACAATGCACGGTATCTCTCACTCTTTGCTCTGGCATCAAGATCTCTAAAAAAAAAAAAAACAACCTCAGAAAACTTTTCTTGTTTTAAGAAAGACATAATACATTTTAAGGTATATTTTATACAAATCATTGCAAGTTACCTGCAATATACAACTTGGTTAAGTATTGACTGTACAGCAAAGCAGTGGAAATAGTTTGCATATAGGGGACGAACAGTTTCCACTGCTGGAAGATTCTAAAAGTACATGGAAAAAAAAAATTCTGTCATGAATGATTTAGAAAAATTGATCCTGACTTCTCAGAGGGGGCAGGTTGGGTGATCTTTTCACATTCAGCCCTGCTTTCTGAGAATACATACGGCGAATCCATTTATTATTAAAAAACACATGACCCCATGTAATATTACATCAAAAATGCTTCTTTGAGGCTTGTTTATTAACATAATGGAATCCTTAGGGCTAGAGTTTGTTAACAATTTCAAGACTTAAGTCTTGATAATGCATTCAGTGTGAAACAATGAATAATTTGAAAGACAAACCCAAGCGATATAATGCATGTCAGATGTCACTAAGTCATGAGAAATAAGAACTGGTTACAATTCTGTATGGTTCACTAAAATGACCAACAAATAAAATAATGAAAAAAATTAACAAGAAACTATTAAATTGCAGCATGCTATCTATAGAAGAAGAAGAAATATTTTCCAGGTAATTTTTCATCCCTTAGAATTTTATGTAATTTTTGCATTTCTGCTACCTAAAATAAGTTCTAGATAGAATTCATCATCTAGAGGAATTATTCAATTCCAGTAATAGGATCAAGTATGAATGTTAGGTGCATTTCTTAATAACACTTAAATCGCTTTACTACCTTCCCCTGGTAACATAAAAGAGCCTTACAACAGGTACCTAACACAGCCAGTGTTGAGAGGTACATCAAAGAGCTGCTGCACAAATGAGAATTCGGCTCAAATATGTTTATTTTATTTTTGAAACATGTTCATATTCACATGTTTTCCCTTTCCTATTTCAACATGAGACCAAGTAATTAAATGTAAACAATTATTCACATTTTGTCACCACTGGAACTAATCATTTCTTTTGGAATAACAGTAAATGGCAGCAACATTAGAAAACTTTTGGACAAAACGCTGCAAGTAAAAGGACTGAGGTGAAACAAATGACTAAGAGCCAGTGCTACCTACCGTTTCAGTGCAGATACTTTTTTGGGGGATTTCTTTTTCAGTTTAGGTAATGACCTGTCTTGTTCAAATCCTTCATTGTCCAAAAGCTGTCGCATAGCTATATTGGCAAGCTGTTCCATTAGTTTAAATGTCTCACTGATATTAAGGAATACTGAGAAGAAATGTTCACTTGACCTTGTGCTCACTTTGATCATATCAGGGAAGAGCAGTGTAGCATTCTTCTCAAGTTGAGTGATATCGACCCAGCGGATAACTAACTTTGCTGAACAGAAGCAAACAAAAAAAGATTAAGTACAAAAACTGGCATAGTCAAAAGCATTTCTCTGTCGCTTTCTATAAAATGCATTCAGCTGAAATTTTCTGGCATCTTGAAAAGTTGGGAGGACAGCATAAATAGATCCAGCTTGTACAACCAAACTATGATCACCTGACAAACAGTAGATAAAAGAGCTTAAATATCATTTGCTTCTGTACAGAACACCGCACAGAAGCATTACAAAGCTAGGTGGGCTAACATAGTCCATCACTGCCACAGCACTAGCTCAGACTCTGATGTTCGCTCTTCCTATGAAGGCACAGAAATGTAGTCTGAACACATTAGACAGGCTTGTGTTAATTTTATACCTTAAAACATTTCAAATATCAGAGCAAGGGCAGATCCTTGGCTTTTCTTCCAACACCACTACAGGTTAGGACATCGTCCTTAAAACAGGGACTAAATTGATGCTCATTTTTGTCAAAAAAAAAAAAAAATCCAGTCATTCACTGGAGTATGTCTATACAGCTCAACAGAAAGACCTGGGAATGATCCATTGCCCATAACCAAGTACTGCAGACTCGCTCACCTCCACACTGTTTAGAATCAACCCCCTGTAGAGCTGACTGGTTGTATCCACACTAAGTGGCCCTTGATCCTGGGTCTCCTCTGAGCCCTTTGTGATGCTCTGGTTTTGTACACGAGTAAACGTGACATTTGAGGTTGCAAAGTCTGCCAGAGTAGTACTGGGGGATTGTATAAGAGCAGAAGCCAGAACTGCTGTGATCTCATCCACGTTCCCTTTTGGGCACAGTCCCTGAAGTGAACCATGCCTCTAAACAATGCCCAGGTATTGTTTTACAGAGAACTACTTTGAGAAATACAAAACAAACAAGGGAATAAGCACACAGTTAAGCTGTCTGATGATCAGGGAATTGCTCTCTGCTCCTCTTTTCCTCAGCAGTGTTGTCTCACCCCCAGCAGTTCAGTAGACGAACAGTAACAAATTAACAGAATATTTCCTTAATAATTCTTAGATGCACAGACCACTGTTCCACTGTAAAACATACCTTCCCTGCCCATGAGGAAAGAGTAAAAGCAAAGGTGGTTAATGCTGAGATACACCCAGCCCTGACGGGGAACCTTCCCCTTCCAGTAACTGCAGGAGTAGTAGTTGACTAATTTCTCTTCTTCCGGCATTCCAAATAGCTTGTGAAATTTCACTATGGCTTCCTTAAATTTTTCTGTATCATCATCCTCCTTGATGCCATTGATTTTGTTGTACTCAGCGATGATGCCCTAAGTAGGGAGTGAAAGAAGTACATAGCACGTTAGTTGCCATGGAGAATCCGATATCCTTATTACCATTGCTGTCTGGGCCAGAGGCCACAACAGTTACTGCAATGCCAAGAAAGTCTTTTGCTTATCTCTTTTTCTTCTGCTCATTCTTTTGCTTATATAGTTATTTACCTTATTCAAGGCTGTCTTTCTGATGACCTTGCTCCCTACCATCCCTATGTCAAAAGCAACCAAACACCAACCACTTGCCAGCACCTTGTTTTAAATTAACCAGCCTATCTCAAATACTCCTAACAACTAACTCTGTGAAGCACCTATGATTTGTAATATTTTTTGCCTCCATGTAAATATGCTCCTTGCGGAGGCAGGGATAGGATTTCACCAGAAAATTTTCTCTAAAAGGAAGGGAAAAAAGTCAAAGGAAAAAAGATCTGTCATTCATTAGAGAAAGTATCAAACGACTTCTATGACCCCTCTTAAGGGACCTTGAGCAAAAGAGAAGAGCAAGAGGAATAAAAGAAATATCTTCTATTAGATTATCTGGCAGGATGAAAAAATCATTCATGCTTTCAGATGCAGAAGACCTTTATCAAATTTGAAGTGGTAGCAGTCTTGTGAAAAGCTGCTTTTTGGTACCTCAAAGACTATGGTTTCTTCTGTTCTACACTGAAGTTCTGGTCTATTCATTTATTTTCCCAATCTCTTTTATAAATCTTTTCTATTGCCTTCTATATCAAAGTTGTAAGAAGGAAAGTGACTTCTTGCCTTCAAATTGCTCCATATTTACATGGAAAGCAGAGTATAAGACAGCAAACCATCATTCATATTTAATATTTGTCCAAGTCTAGAAAGTAACAATTTCCTTTAAGGATCGTATTTCACAAGACAGATGTCTTCTCACACAAGGTGTTTCCATGGTCCTCTACAACCCTCGTACCTGATTCACTAGTAAAACACAAACAACTAGGAGACTCTTAAGACAGTGGACTTAATACATGAAATGCTAAAAAAGGAATGAGACAAAGCCAATGCTTAGAATACACACAAAGTACAGCAATTTTGCTTACAATCAATCTTTTACCAAAATATTTACTTTTAAATAATTCTTAGTGTGGATAAAGTACTTTTTACTAGTATAGCTCCTATCTCTCACCTAAAGACAAAAAGAAATTCTGATAAACCAGGCAACCAATCACTGAATATCTATCAACCAGCAACTCTTAACATCTATATGAAGTGTAAACGCAAACACTACAGGACTTAACTATGCAAAAGAGGGAAAGGAGACATTATACGATGAGTGCATGAAAAAAAAGAATTAAAGCTTTGCACTGGAAAAGGAGTTACATAGAAAACTGTCAAAGTTTAAGACAGAAGCAACAGTGCAATTGATTTTAAAACCCATAAAGTTTGAGGCCCTACCTATATATATAAAAATATATATGTATATTTAATCACACTGCTCTAGTTACGTGTGCTAATTGCAGTTTCCCTAATTTTTACACTCGTGTTGCTACTCAGAATCTGATTTTCCTTCAAAAAGACGAAGCAGCTCAGGGACTATCAGGTCAAATTCGTTCAGAATTCACATCAGTTTTCCTTCCACAGTCATATTTATCATTAACGACATTTAGAATAATATTCTTAACTACCTGTATTTTTCCTCTGACAAATGTATTGATGTCATTCTCATTTTCAAAGATTGAAAGAGTTTGCAACAAATTCTGTTCAAGCCATTCCCAATGTTCAGTGATTTCCTTCCTTGAGCAACCTGTACATAAAAAAACACAAACAAACAACCCAAAAAGTCACAAAACACATAATCACCAATGTCAATGTCCTCTCAATCATAAACAAAAGACTCTAACAAAACTCGCCAATAACTGGAGATGTGGAATTTCACCAGATACTGTGTCCCTGGCAATTCCAAAATTTCCTCCCAGAGGAAATTCCAAAATTTCCTCCCAGCAGCCTAATGTCACATAAAAGAGCTAGCAAAGGTATTACCTGCATCTGTTCGGAACTGAAAAACAAACCCAACAGCTGTACATTCTACCATTGGGTCCTAATTCTTCACCATTATATACATCTATAAATTATGAAACAATGATAAAGTTTCAAGAGTGAAAGCTGAAAAGGATAATTTTCCTGACAATTCTATTACAATGTCTCTTCCTCAAGAGAAGAGTTTTGAAAGACCTTTAAGACAGATGTATCTTTTCAGGGGAAGAGGGTTGTCAGAGGTGGTTTACTTTTAACAATGAATGAATAAACTAAACTTTGATGACCCTAGTTTGCTTAGGAGACCAAAAGGGGTCAAGTGAGGTATCTTTGATACCGAGGAATCAGCTTACATGTAGCCTGTAAAGCAGTACAGAACAATGATGAAAAAGCTTCTTGTACAAACAAGAGTTTATACACGCAATTTTTTTGCTTCTATTTTACTTCAGATGGATTGTAATAAATATAATTTCCATTTTGACCCCAATCTCAACATCTTGCAGAACAAAGCTGTTGGTGCTTTTCAGGATCTCCCTGTGCCCACCCTGAAGGAAGAACAAATTCACGTACACACAAAAAAAAATTGTTCCCCCCAAAAAGGATGCTGAAAGAATTATATCAAAACCAGAACTTTTGAGTAAGTATTTTCAGAAAACAAACATTACATGTTCACACAGAAACATCTGTACCTGGAGCTTGATTAAAAGTATCTCAATCCAGGTGGGAAATAGTATCAATACTACGTCATCTTTCTGTTCAGATTTGGCTCATTTTACTCAGAACTCACAAGTAAATATACCTACCTGCTAACTATCACCTACAGAACCCAACAAAGCGAAGGGGCTCATGTGAGGAACCATTAGAAAGAGGTTGAACTACAACAAGCTGTTGCTAATAACTTCTTCACTACAGACACAAATCGTCCCATGGCTGTGCATAAGCATTTCCATGGTTTGTAGAAACACTCAATGTGATCATCTTGAATACATACCAAACAATCGTCTTCCTTGTTGTTCAGCAACAAACGACAGGGGACAATATTCTTTCTACAGTATACAATCAGAGCTTTACACAATTCCAATGAAAGCAACCAAAACCAACATTCTGTGCAACTTCCAGGGGAATGTCACAATTCTAGTTGTAGTATGGATACATAAATCATATTGCAGAACAGCCTGCATATGTAACCAATGTCTCAGAACCACAAGTGATTGCCACTGCTGCTCTCCTTAAAACTACTGGACGCAACCAGACCTTTCTAGAACTCAGGAGGTGGTCTGAAGACCGATTTATTTCTTCTCAGCTTTTACATTGCTGTAAAAAGCAATGATGAAGTACATGAAGAGAATACTCTTTCTTGTTTGCAGTTCATAGATTATTTTTCATCACTTATGAAACAGCTTTGGTTGATTATTCTCAATCTGTAACAACTCCTCTCATTGTTTCCATTGGGAGAGTAAACAGTAAGATAGTGGAGACAAACAGCAGTCTCCTCTGCAGCAGATCACGCAATCAGGCCAAAACCCACATGCCAGTTCTCACCAATTTATCATTACAGTCTAGATTTTTCTCTTTGCTTTGTTCACTCAGGATTAAAAAACACTTTTGCTGCGATGTTTTAAACTACAGGTCTATTTTCAACTCTGCTACTGGCAAGTCCTTGCCTATCTTGGCGTATTAGAAGCATTCATCATTTTGCCATCATTGGCCTTTTAGGTAAATTAAGCAATATCTCTAACTCTCAGGGAAGGGAAAAAACATTTAACAGTTAAACAAGCACTTTGGAATACAGAGCCCTCAAGACTGGCGGGAAATAAAAGGGAAAATAGGAACAATGCATACAGTAGGCTACTAATCACTCCTTCCTCTCCTCTAAATGGTACATCCATCTTAGGGAGTGTGCTCCGCTGCTGAAATGGTGTAATGTTGGCCAGCATCCCTGGTACGCTGAGCTATCCTCCTCAGTCTTCAGGGAAGAAACTAGTAAGCATGTGAAACAGAAGTTGGAGAGCTAAGGGAGGTCCAGACCAGAAGAGCTGGATGGAGGAAGGGTGCATGGTGCTGGAGAGAGGATGAGAAAATACAATTGCCTGGCAGGTGAGGTGGAGCAACAGCAAGAGCAACACGGGAACATCTCTGGGTATCAGGGTTAGGTTTTAGCATCTGGGTTGGTTTGTCTAACGTAAGAGGTGAAAGTACAGGGGGAATGTGATTGAGCTCAGGACTGAGAGGAAAATTAACAAGTCATGTAAGCATGCTTTCAAACACACTCAGAAGTATAACCTCAGTATTGTTTCAGCCAGTGACTGAGGAATAGGAATGGCTTAACTTGAGACAACTGATGAGGCTGTCATGTCTGGTCTTCTCTTCTAAGTAGATACTTACCAAGATGCTTATTAGTCAACCTGAACTGCTGCCGTCAACAGAATGCACTGCAAGAGAACTTTTAACACTTCTGAACCTGCCATTACTGGCAAGAACGATTTTAGGCTCCCTGGAGTGGACTGGCAAAACCTCAATTTGCAGAGAGGCAAGAAGAAATAGTTATGTCTGGTAGCACTCTAACTAAAATTTGTAGCTTTGTTAACCAAAGCACGTGGGCTTTTCTGAAAACCTTTTCCAAGGCATGTGATAAAATTTCAAGGTTGGTGCTTTAAAATAATCTGTAATTAGTTTTTTTTCCACATGTGAAACATAGATTTAGAAACTTCTATGAAAATGCATATAATTAACCATTACCGCAAACCTACAGCAATGGGTCTATACCTGAAAAATACAGAAAGCCACAGTAAGAATGACCAATTTCATAGGCAGAGAAGGATCTAAAAAAAGTTGTTCATTTCCAAACAGAGTTTACATATACTATCATTTTTCCACGTAAATAGAAGACTAGCAGATCAGGGAGAGACAATGACGTGCAACACAGGAAGGCTATTACAATAGGCAAGACTGATCATATACAACATTTTGGATTTCTAGACCATTACAAAATTAAATGCTTATTTAAACATGCTTAAAACAGTTCTTGAAAAGTCACCAATAACATCTTTCCAGTACAGTTTAATAGACAGAACTTGAACTCTTGACTCTTCAACACAACACGGAACTGGGGAAAGCGCTGTTAACAAGCCTCCTCTACAGATCTATAATGCCTCAAATCTATCAGCTCGCATTCTCATACAGCCTGGATCAGCAGAGCTAATACCCAAGAAAATCCACATCCAAAATGAATTACAAACAAATCTGGGGTCTAAAAGTAACATAAATGGTAATTTTAGAGCAAACGGAACCCCTTGGATTATGTCTTACCCTCAGTATAGCCTTGTACAGAGCAAGACCAAATGTCATGCAGCATGAATGAACAAGGAAACAATCATGTTTCTTCCAGCCACTCTGTACAGCTACTTACTTATGGAAAGCAGAGGAGAATATGACAAATTTCTGTAAAAATAAGAGATTACAAGTACCAAATGACCAGCAGTCTACCCCTAGGGAACAGGGAGGGACAGCTGTACAATGCAGGACAAATCAGAAGTGCATAGCTAAATGCAGCCAAATCCCTTAGTAACCTGTATAATGGTAACAAGCCTTGATCAGTTCAGAAGGAAATGCTTTATTTGCAAATTCATAAAATAACCACAGTGTAGAGCCTTAGGCAACATGGGGCTTCTCAGCTTCAAGGTTGCGTAGATAAGCAATTTGCTTTCTGTAAATTCTGTAAAATTTTACCTCCCTGTAAGAGCCACACTATTCCCCTCAGGAGACAAGACTAAGCTAGTGCAGTCTTATAATTTAACAAAAATAACTAAGCCAGTCAAACAGCTAGGTATTAGAAGACTAAAAATTCAAGAAACACTCCACAAAACTGAAGCATAGATATATACATTAACTATTTCAGCAATTTCAGTTAGCGTTAATATTCATAACTGAAGAGCATGTCTATTAAAACTAGCTTAAATGTAAACAGACTACCATATTTCTACATAAAACCTGCAATATCTGTCACAGAAGAGAAACAAAATCCTCACAGTTCAGCAACAGCATAAATTTTTACACGTATGGTAATTTGTTTATTCTCGGGCCATAACTCATCTGCCTTCAATTTTGTGCCTCCGGTTATCTGAGGACACACATTGTAGGTATAAAATTATAGTAATTATCTATAGGTGTCATGCAAAAAACTTGCAAATACACTTAAAAGTAAAGTCATATGGCCTATTTCCAAAGTCTTAAAAATTAATTTCTCAATATGAGCAGAGTATGAGCGTCTTTGATGAAACACTATTTTGTTGAGAGCTTTATGATATACTATTTTCTTTGGAAGAGAGTCTGCAAACAGCAAGAAAATTTGTGCCCTTGGTTGCTGCTCCCTTTCAAATTTATGGGACAGAGGTGCTTACTAGTTGCTGCACACTGATATTTGGATGAAGGGAAAAAAGGGTTGTACGTGCACTTGCAGCTACCTCTGTTCATGCATAAATAGTGTAAATAAACACACTGGAAAGTACTTTTATGCTTCTTTCTCATGACTGAGATCCATGGAAAGCTGACATGCAAGGTCCTATTAACTTCATAATATTGACGATTTCATTGATATCTGGTTTTACTGTTAGCTGTCACTAATGCCAAATTATGTTACATCAATTTTAAAATCTTCAGTGAGTTGGTACTAAGAGGTGTAGAGGGAAAACCAGCTGCTTAAATTAATGCTTTCTTTCAGGTTTGCTACCATCAAAAGTAGCAAGAAATACTTGTGCTAAGATGAGTTATTAAAAAACTTCCTGTTGGATTGAGAACATGACACAGCTTTGATATCACCTTCGTCAGACACACAAACCATATGCTCATAAGAATAGAGCCTGCTTTGAACTTCTAAAGTTATTAGATCTATGGCAAACCTTCATCAATTCCTCCTCCTCCTCTTCGCGTCTCAAGAGAGAGGATTTGTCTGTAGGAAAAGTCATCCAATTAATCTAAATGTCATATATTATTGGGAGAATGGGGGCAGATGAGAGGCCACTGTTAGGCCAGAAGAAGTCTACAGCTTCATTAACTAGTATTTTTGCACGTCAGGCAGCACTGGGGGTGCTGGAAGTTACCAGTCTATTAAAGAGATGACAGGCATGTATGCACTTCTCATTTGTCCTCTTTCTCAATTTTCTTTCAAATGAACAGAGTTCTGGCTGGTGCCTAAACCAGTGTTTGAAACTTTCAAGCTAGAGGTGTTGCATTCAAAAGCTTCCATTTGCTAAGAGTGAAAAGCAATACTATCAAACTGAGGATCTCACCTTACAAGCTTGGCCAACCAATGCTAAATAACTTCAACCTTCTGCATTCAGCTTCAGAGCTATTTTCAGAGCTGGCAAACAGAACCAGAAACGAACTACATACTGCTTTATGCTACTTGCAAGAGGTACCTGACCACAGAAATAAGCATTTAGTATTCACTAGACTTGATGCATGCAAAAATCCTATTTAATATACCAAAACATCAACTTCATTGATTTCACCAACTATTACGACAGAAGAAGCAGTCTTACAGATAGATCTGTCAAAGTTTGAGCCTTGAAGACCAAAACTCTTAAGAGTTGTTGCATCTACGAGAGAACACACATTTCTGTATTGAACTCTAATGGAGCTACAACCTTGCTGAATTTCTACATATGTCATATTTAGAATGACAATGCCAACAGACTGTCTGAAATAAACATCCAGGAGGTGGGCATCCCTGGGATCTAGATGGTATTTATCCTCAAGGAGACAGAGCTCACTATCCAGGAAACACCATACCGATATTCAGTACTCAGGTGAGAGTTGGGGTTGCACTATCTTCCTGGTTTCCCTTTCAAGGGAAGCCAGGTGCCCAGTCTGGGTAATTTGGGGGCACCTCCTACCATACTCTATTTAGAGATAGCCCATCATTTAGGAATGCTGCACTTCAGAAGTGTTGTAGGAGTGAGTCATGGGCATGGAGAACATGCAAGGAGGAGGGATGGATACTAGAGTGCTTGTCTGGGAACATATTTGGAAGATGAAGAGTGGGAAATAACAGAAGCTTCTGTCCCTATTCTATGGCCACTTTTGGTTTTACTCAGTCATTGTGTGTAACACATACAAACATGCTGGCATTCGAGGTCTGAATATTAGAAGCTCTGGAGCTTCTTAATTTAACCACCAGAGCAGGTTTTCATCCTGACCCATTTATTTGTCCTGAAATGACTGTGCTCAGCAGGCAGGATGCTCTATTAGTTATGTGGTACAGTACTCGGGAAGAATAAAAATCCATATGTCAGTATGTTCGTCCTTACCACAGGCAATAGTCCAATAGACCAAGGAGTCTGGTGCTTGGTAGAGGATTCGATACGGTGCCACTCTGGCACTGGAGTCCAACACGACATCAAGAGTACCCACAAGGAGACCTATGGAACAGGAAATTCTGATGAACACACAGTGATGGATCATCCGAGATTCCACAGGAGGGGCTCTGCAGCACACCCTCCATCTTCCGTTTCACCCTCCACAGCAAAATGCAGACCTCTCTATTCATCTCCACACTTGTTGCCTCATGTTGTAAAGAGGGAAGGTGACTCAAGAGGAAAAATCTTCAGTTTCAACAAGACTTTAACTTTTAAATACACACTGATTTAAAAGTTACTTAGTTATTTTCTGTGTCTTATACATACTTTTGGAGCCCCGGGGGAAAACAAACAAACAAAAAACCACCACAACATCAACAAAAAATGCCAGACAATACACCCTAGAAGGCTTCAAAACTCAAATGTCAGGAAAAACGTCTTAGGAAAAACTAAGACTTCCAGCAAGAATAATTATGCTACTTAACGGTCTGATTCTTTAGGGTAGAAAGGATCAAAAAGCCTAACAGTCGAGCTTTTTTTCAGCTGAAAGGATACTGATGAAAGACAAAGCCATACTGTTTTACCCAAAGTAGCTTTGAAAATTCTTTGCTACTGAGGGGGCCATCAACAGTTGCATACCAAATGCTACCAATAATTCCTAACTATATTTACTTAGTAGTAGCAGAGGGTGTCCCTGCCCATGGGAGGGGGGGGGGTTGGAACTAGATGATCTTTGAGGTCCCTTCCAACCCAAACCATTCTATGATTCTATAATGTTTCCACAAATTCTAGATCTTATTTTTATAAGAAATCACACACAAACCAAACCTCCAATCCCCCAACCTCTCTCCCACAGGAAGCCCTCTTTATTTTTAAAAGATGTAAAATTTTTTCCCCCTTTTCACCCCTACAAAGAATTTTCATTTTCCCTGCAGAGAAGTCAGATTTAAATTCTCATGTTGAAGTTCTCAGCAAATTCACATATTGAAAACAGATGGATGGACTTTTTCAAAGATTTTTTTACTGTAAATGTTTATTGGGGTAGAAATTAGGGGTTTTTTTTTACACAGCTGAAATAAACTACACGCACCGAAAAACAATTCTAAAGCACTCCTGTTAAAATCTTCTGCTTTCATCTTTTACTGTCATAGTTTTATTAGTTCCTCATTCTGCACTATCACAACTGATACAGAAGAATTGTTGAACTGTTTCTCTCGCTGTTCTTCTTTCAGATCTGCTTTATGTAACCCAAAGATATAAAAGCATTACCCATTTTCCATCTTAGTAGATCCCTTAAACCCAAAATGAAACTGATATTTGGAAATATGCCACCTATCAGTGATTTTTGTATTCCCCGTTCTATGGTTATTTGCATTTTGTTTTCTACAGATCTTCACAGACCAGATCAAATGCCATCTCTTCCTGTCCAATACATCAATATCCACCATTTTTTAATCCAAAAATTCTGAAATACATGAGAAACAACTGTCATGGTTTAACCTGGCCAGCAACTAAATGCCACACAGCTGCTCGCTCACTCTCCCACATCCCCAGGGAATGAGGAAGAGAATTAAAAGGGAAAAGGGAAGAAGACTCATGGGTTGAGATAAGAACAATTTAATAATAATAACATAAAATTTAAAGTAATAAAGATAAAATAATATCTAAAAATGATAACAATATAAACAAAGAAGCGATGCACAGTATAATTGCTCACCATCCAGTTACAAGCGCCCATCCCATTCTGGCAAGTGATTCTGAAATATAGAAGTCCCAACACCGCAATCCCGGACAAGTAAGAGATCCGAAAAGAGAGCAAGTGAGAGAGAGAGAACTCCGAGAGAGTCCTCAAAAGAGAATTCCAAACTTCCCAGTGAACTCTTATCTATATACTGGGCATGATGCTGCATGATATGGAATGCTCCATTGGCCAATTTGGCCCTCGATCCTATGTCTAAGTTCAAATCCTAAGGCAGGAGCTGTGGGTCCTTTGTCCCAGCTATTCTCCTCTCCAGCTTGTTGTGCACCTGCACGCTGGCAAAACACGGGAAGTTGAAAGGTCCTTGATTTTCTTAGAAACAACTGAAAACATCAGTACACCATCAACATTCTTCTCATAACAAATCCCATACTAAATCCAAAACACAGAGCTATTCTAGCTACTAAAAAGAACTAACTCTGTGCCAGTGGAAACCAGGACAGAACACATCAGGCCATTTGTACGCAGTGTTAGAGAGCTGCCTGCTGACTATAGGATACGAACACAAAATATTAATGTAAAACACTCCAATGATCATTAGCCTAACTAGTTTTAGTTGTTCCTATTGCCATCTTAAACCCTCATTCTCATGCATTTTGCTTACTGGTGTACACTGACAGGCTGCCTCTGATCAACCCTCCATCAGCCCTCCTAGACTCCTAGCCCACCTCGACTCCTTCCCAACTCAGCAGACTGAAGTAGGTTAAAATACTGTTCCTTTAAACCAGTTTTTCTGTTAAATATACTCTCCATTCTAGCTTCACAAAACCAGCATGGCCCTGGTCCAGAGAGCACATCTGTGGTTCAACCATGGGCAAAGATCCTCAAACTCTTAAAGCTGCTAGTGAGCTCAGGAGTATTGCCCAACTGCAGTGCAGACCAAGCCAGGTGCCTCACTGCTTTACTCACCTGGGTTTGCTGCAAACACATAGCAGGGCTCATGCCAAAGATTCTGCATGCTTCGCAGCTTCACGTGTCTACTGACAGTACTAAATATGCAAGAGGCATGATGTAATATCTAAATAAAGTTGTATGCTGGCCAAGTGCAATCTTCTCTGAGGTACAGATACGCTGTTGAGTCCCTGTAATCTTTAAAAATATGCTTGTTTCTTTCCTTCTGCTGTATTTCCAAATCTGTTGGTGTGTGGGTGGTCCTGCCAACCAACTCTGCCACTAGTTCTAGGAGGGTGCTGCAGCTGTGAAAACTGGGATACACAGGTAAGGTCGGGGAGCCAGAACAAACCTACTGACTTGTGCAGAAACATCAAGCTAGGAGAAGCTTCTCATCTTACCTCCTTCCATCCTGCCTTCTTCTCCCTGAGATATGGGAGATAGGAGACGGACATCCTCCTGTCCCATCAAACAGGAACGATGTAATACAGAACAGTGTACGCAAGAAATGTGGAAAGCATCATAAAAAAAAAAAAAAAAAGGCAACCAAAAAAACAAAAGAGACTAGCCAGCACTGAAAGAACAGACAGGAGGCAAGGGAAAGGAAAGAAAGAATACTCTCCTCTGGTGCAGTAAGTAGGAGTTGCCCAGTGCCTTTTCAGCAATGGCAAGGTTATAGAAATATCCACCCAGTGAGGTTAAAGGAAAAAAATTCACAGAACTGCAGAAGACCACATGGAAATTCGAGGTCTAGCTTACCAAAATAATTGCAACAGACAGTTTATCAGTACAATTTTACTTATATAATGAAATAGCTGTTTTGATAGATGATACATGTGATATTTAAAAAAATAACATATGTTTTTATATACATCAAAGCCAATTAGTATTTACTCTTGCAATCATGCAGCTACACCCGACTGCTGTCCTTCAGGAACTGTTCCATTTTGCATAGTAGGTCAGTGTTGTTTTTTGGGTTTGGGTATTTGTTCGGGGTTTTTTTTAATAACGCAGACGTGATGCAACTGGAATGAAATCACGGCAGTTCAAATTGATAATTTCTCTGAGGAATTTCTACATGAAGTAATCATAATAATTTTTTTTAAAAAAACCCACAACAAATCAAACACCAATTTATTTTAATACTGTTCATTAATTCTTCATATAGCAAGTATTTTTTGAGACATGATTAAGAAGTAAGTAGCAGAAAGTTTCTATAGAAACAGAACAGGCAACAAAGAATCACATTCCTTAGATTAGAATCATGCAACTCTACCAATTGCAAATTTTTTTCCTGTTATTTCATCAGGTTTCTGACTACATAGTGAAATAAGGGAAGGAATACTCAATGTAAGAATACTATATCTACCAGCCCTTGTTCAAGCGAGCAGTTTTCAAGAGCAAAGGTTTAAAGCACGTGTTAAAGTTTGTGGGACTAGCGTCTGGCTACCTGAAGACAGCCCCGATCCTGAGGGCACTCACGCACAAGTAGCCTCATATTGCAGAACAGTCCCATCAGACACACACGCCAAATATCTAGAGCAACCATACCTATATACGAGGGCAGGAGGGGAAAAGGGAGGGATAACGCCTTTGTTTTGTTTGATACGACTTTTGGAATAAAGTTAGCTTTCTCTTTTGCAAATCTGAATTCTAAAGCAAACTTCCAGAAAATCGTTCAATATTCCCTTTCTTTTCTGTAAAATATAGGTATTAGCAGAGGAAAAGCAGTGAAATGTAGTGTCTAAAGCCAGGGAACACAAAGCCACAACTGCCTAGGGGGCCTGGGCGATTGCTCTTGCGTCATGTTACTGGAAGGACATACAATGCACTAGAGGGTATTACTGGAAAGGAGTTCACAGTTACCTGATGTGATTTACACTGAAGGAAGAAATCATACATTCTACTTATCTGACCACTGTGCCTCACAAGCTGGAGGGGGAGCCTATAACCGTTGCACAAAGGATACAGATTAGAAGTCTGTATACGTGCATTAAATTATGATGTACTGTACTTGCATCCTTACACTAGCAACCAATTTTCAAACTGCTTTTTACTAGAAGGGACTACGACCACACAAAACCTGACCTCCTGCATAACGCAGACCCCCTTTAAGCCAAATTATTTCTATCTGACCAAAGGATATTTTCCAGAAAGGCAGGTCCATCTTGATTTGAAAACTGTGCGAATTGATTCAGCCAGTTAAGACTCTTCCAAGCACCGCTTGCACTCTCCACTCTTTGGAGACCAGCATTCCAGATGGCTTACAGTCCAGACCGATTACAAATTGCCCACAAACGATAATGAAATCAAGTGATGACCTGCAGTAGAATCAACTTTGCACACTGTGAGTTACCAACACTGAAAACACACACACTTTAAAACATATGGACTCAAACAGCTGTAATAAGTCACAATATTTTCAGCTGCTTGGATATCTGTGGCACAGACCTTTGCTGCAGGAACATTCCTCCCTCTTTCTTTCAAGATGTAACTAGAGATTAATTTTTTACCTTTCATAAAAATTTGCAAGCTTCTTTGTAAAACACCAATTACTGGTGTTTTTCAAGAAAAAGCAAGTTTAAGCATCTTACATATGAATAATCCTTTTTCTTACAAAAGGATTTTTTTACTGACAAACAGTAACCCTCTTTCACAAAAAGTCATGCTTTGATTTAAATAAAAACCACAAAGATCAAGTAGTCTTTATCACCTTTCTACAGTCCCCCTGACAGCAATCGTACATAATTATGTTGATGAGCCGGTGGTGTTTTACCTGTTAAAATACACAGGGTTCTCAAACTAAATTGGATTACATTTTCCAGAGTGAAGACCTGGATTACGTATTACTTCTTGTGCCCCTTATTAAAACACTAAAGCCAATTTATTTACTGTTTATGAATGATATTTAATAATGACACTTCAGACCTTAAAAATAACCAGCAGTCATGGCTTTGCTGCACAGCAAACACTATTAAAAAGCTCAGCACACCATCAGACAGTGACACTTCCCATTCAGGTTTAACCATGCAGTCCCCAGACCCGAGGTGTTTTCAGCACATGCCAGTGACCCGTGATACATCTGTTGTTCAGTGTCATGGGCAACTTGCACCAAACCTTGCCAGAGCTGGAAGGAGGTCACTCCGTAGCTGGGGCCACTGTTGTGCCTGACGACTGCCCCCAGGGACACCCTCTCTTCCTCCAGTTTGCCAGACGACAAGCATGTGTTATGCACCCAGTTCCTGAGAGCTGAGCCCTGCCCTACCACATCCTTCCCCCAGCTCTACACAGCCTGAAAGTCTTTCAGGACACCTTCTGTTAAGCAATTTTTATTTTAAAAATGCCTAAACAGCATACATCTTTCTAACACGTAAAGCAAACACTGAAGTATATCCTCCAAAAGAGCTAAGATTTAACACAGGTCAGACTGTGACTCTTGGAGTCATGCCCATGAGCTAGTCACCCAAACAGTCCCACGGATGTCAGCAGCCTATTTGTGAATGAGCTCAACACCACAACTAGGAAAACCTGCTATGTCAAGTGTGTCATTAGTAAGAATTTTTCATAACAGGCATCGTGATGTTCCAACGCTGAATGAAACACAGACTGCTTAAACGGGTCCCAGTATTTAAAGTGTGCTGATGAACCCTTCTCTTTCCACTAAAGCAAGATGGACATACAGTGAGCTCTGGTCTTAAATCTGAAACATCCAAGCGACCTACTTGGATTGTAGATGTCAGTTGACTTCTGAGAAAGCCTCAATCAATAGGGTCGACTTAAGTCATATTTGCACCCTGAGGATTCAGTTTTGTACTGATTTCACGGCCAATGAACAAACTCTTCCTAAAGTTTAAGTGTTACTTCCTGGACTATAAAAACAGTAACTCATAATGACACATAGCTAAAAGATACAGCACAAGCTGTTGTTTTCCTAGTAACTGTAATGAATCATTACTCTTCCATTCTTTCTCAAGGCAGTCCACGTGTTTAAGTGATTAGCTCTTTCATTTGTTATTACATGATGAGGTCATCCAATTACTTGTCTGTCAAAACTAAACCTAGAGCAACAATCTCAACTCCAGGGGTAATACTACAGACAAATCCTTTGAACGAGGACGATCAAGTCTATCTATTTCATTTCATGGGAGAGCCTAAATTACTAGTAAACATTATACATCACTCAAAAATAAATACAACGTTAAACTTCCAATCCCGGTAATAATATCCACAAAAGCATGGAAACAATCTCTTCTCTTCTCTCTTGTGAACACCACCCTTGCCACTTTAAGAAGGGTTATACAGTTTTGGTTTACAGGTGTTCATTCATATGAACGGAAGCAAAATAACCTCTAAATTCTTATTTGATAACCGTCTTCCCATGTGAGTTATATAGCAGTGGCTCATATGGACATATTGTGGTATCAAGAAAATCAAATTCTTCCTCTGAAATTAAGGCCTAAGATGTGTTAAGTCTTCTCCAGTGCCTGCCTTTGCTGCTCCCTCTGTCTTCCAATGCAGTTTTATACATTTTTGGATTTGCCCAGCCACAGTTTTCCTGGCACAGGAGTTTTCAAACTGCTCAGTGAAACTGACTGTGAGGAAGTACTGCCCCTCTACTGACGTTTAGCAAGACAAGCAGCAAAAACAGTACTTGCTTTTTCTGTCTTCAGGCTGATGAATACAAATGAGAGAAGATTGAAAACCTAATCACTAATCTTTGAAAAAAAAAAAAAAGCTCAGGAAAGGCCAATGTGATGATCTGGCTCGACCAGTGCAGGATAAAGCAGTAACAAAGGATAAAGCTTTCATCCTCCCTTCAAGTTTAACAATTGTGATTGAATTAGATTACCATCCAAATATCTTCATTTGAAAGTGATCAGCAATTGAACGGCTACCACAGTACTTGTCAAGGTGCCCAAACAACTCATGACTATCCCTATAAAAATCTGTATCTTAACTCGAACCTAAATCTGACTAGATTTAGACTTTCAGCTTTTAGAACTTATTTAAAGCAACTACACCTGCACCAACATAATCTTATAGAATTTATCTGAATCTTAAAGTACA